CACATGTCCGCATGTGTTGGTTTATTGTCTCAAAACTAGCAGGCCCCTGGAACCTGCGCACGCGATGCCTGCTGGTTCAGCTGGTCACCTACACACATTTCCTGTTAAGGACGACATCAGTGATGCAGACTCTTCAAATGACAAGATTTTGGTCCTTGCTTTCCATTCTCAGGCAGATGCGACTTGGTCTGGACAGACCACATCATTGGGTGATGGTTTCAAACAACAGGCACCACCAGTCAGTGAGGCATCCATGGCATTAAAGGATTTGCTGGAACTCGCATGAGGACCTTCTCGCAGAAAATCAGAAGGCTTCAGTGCACCTGATTACGATTCTTTCGTGCGGCATAGGCTGGAGGGCATGTGAGTCATGCTTAGCTTCTATATCAATGACACATCATCAACTTATGGTGCATGGGGAGCCTCTTCATTACAGTCAGCCATTGCCCTGGATTGGGGCCGGCACTGCACTCGAACACTGTGTTTAATGTGCCGCCAATTCATTAGTGACCATGAAGTTCTTCCATTAAACCCATTTGGTGACTGGAACAGGTTCATGCTTGCAGACGAAGATCTAGTGTGCAACATCTTGCTTCATTTACAGCAGCTTGGCAACAAAATCACAGCAACAAAGCCAGAGTCATATCTAGCTCAGGACAATGTCATGAAAAAGCACAGAATTACATGTATTGTCAGCTTACGCACTTGCGAGTGTTGGCTTAGTGTCCTCGGCTACCAGTTCACATACAGGATGTCTGGCGCTTTACCACATTTATACATGAAGCTCATATGAAGCACATGACTTCACATCTTCCGTACATTTATTTCATATAAAGGTCATATAAAGCCCACTTCTTTTGCGAAACTTTACATTCCTTCATATGGCTTTACATTTCTTCTACATTTCTTCTACATTTTCTTTACTTCTTCATGACTTTTAGTCAATAACAATTGTTGAGGAGCTTCACGTAAAGCTTATATGAACTTCGTGTGAAGTTTATATGCGACATTCATATGTGCTTCATGTGAAGTCCATGTGAAGCACATGTGAAGAGTTTATATTCATATGGATTACAACTAAGTTATGAGTTTGTCTCATACACAAGTGCATACAAGCTTCATGTGTGGTTTATATGAGCTTCATGTGTACTTTATATGAGCTTTACATGTGATTTATATATGCACTACATGCACTTTATATAGAGTAAATGTAAACTTCATATGAGCATCATGTGTGGTTTGTGTAGAGCGAATGTATACTTTATATGAGCATCATGTGTGGTTTATACAGCATATATATGCTTTATGTGCAGTTTATATAACATAGATGTACACTTCATGTGAACTTTATATGTGGTTTATGTGCGCTTCATGTGTGCTTCATATGCAACTTATACATAGTAGAGGTAAATACTTTAACACATTTAGTCCTCCTCCTCCTCACTCTCCTCCTCCTCTTCACTCTCCTCTTCACTTTCTGAGTCTTCTTCATTCTCACTCTCCTCATCACTGTCTGCCACTTCTATTCCTGCTTCTTGATTCCTCTTCTTTTCCTCCTGCTTGGCAATGACCCATTGAGTGTGTATGAATAACAGCACATGCATCGTGAAGTCAAAGTTGCTAACTGTCATTCGGTTGAGAACAGTCTGGAAACCTCCAATCCATGCATTGAGCTGTTCACAGGCCTAAGCTCAAATTAGACAAGTATGACTGCTAGACCACTAAATTCACTTACCTGAGTGTTGAAAGCCCTCTTATAGTAAGAATTGCCTTGCTTGTCATTGGCAACCACTACAAGATTTGGTGCATCTCCATTGAGGGGTGCTGGATTGCACCAGGTCTGGCAAAGATGATCAGTGATCCGGTGGTTGATGTAGTGGTATGAGTCCACAATAATCCTAGTCGTTGGCTTCCAAGCAGGCCAGTGTATATCTGGCAGTTCACCACGTCTACAAGTGAACACCAACTGAATCCAGTTGGTCTGGTCCGACCAGTTGGACACCAACTCAAGTCAACTGAACTACCAACTGAACACCAACTCAACCAAGTAAGTTCACTTACATTCAGTTCTGTTCAGTTCCACACCAAGTGACTACCACTTGAACACCACTTTATATAGTTGGAGAAGTTTCAGTTGGTGTCCAATTAATATCCAAGTGGTGTCCATGTGAACTGTGCATAGTAGAGTCAGTAGAAGTAGAAGAGATTGTTCAACTGGTGTTCAGTTGGTATTCAGGTGGGTTTCAAGTGGACTTTGGACTTGACAGAATTTACACAAGTCCAAATGGTGTTCAAGTGAACCTCACTTGGTGGTCAATTGGGGTCAAGTGGTATGAGTTGGAGTACAGACATTGTTACAAGTGTCACTATATTGGGGAGTGTTTCGTTCGCTCCCAGTTGGTGTTCAAGTGGCCACCAACTGAATACCAGCTGGGTGTGATCTTCTACAGATACAAGTCCAAGCATACATTACAGTTGATATTCAAGTGGTATCCAAGTGGCAGCCAGGTGGTGGCCAAGTGATATCCAGGTGGTGTCCAAGTGATGTCCAAGTGATGTCCAAGTGGTGTTCAAGTGATATTCAAGTGATATTCAATTGTTGCTCAAGTGGTGTTCAACTGAAGTTCAACTGATATACAAGTGAATGTCAAGTGAACTACAAGTGAACTACAAGTGAATTTGCTCATATTCAATCATCATCATCTTGCATCTCTTGCAGCCCATATCTCACTCCATTCTCATCCTCTTCATCCTCACTTTCATCACCTGCTTCTTCTTCCCTTCCCTGCTGCCTGGCAATAACACGCTGGGTGTGCAAGAACAGCAACACATGCATGGTGAAGTCAAAGTTGCTGACAGTCATCCGGTTGAGGACTGTCTGGAACCCACCCAACCATGCATTGAGTTGTTCACAAGCCTAAGTACAACAAATGAGACAAGTACAAGTGGCTGACTAGTAGAATCACTTACCTGAGTGTTGAAGGCCCTCTTGTAGTACGGGTTGCCTTGTTTGTCTTTATCAACCACCACCAAGTTGGGGGCATCTCCATTGAGAGGTGCAGGATTGCACCAAGTCCGACAGAGGTGGTGAGTCACTCGGTGATTGATGTAGTGGTAAGAGTCGACAATGATTCGAGTGGTGGGTTCCCAAGCAGGCCAGTGCCCTTGCCTGACGATATGCTTGAGTAAGGCGCACCCCTTGTCAATGGCAATGTAGCTGGGGCGTGAGGCAGGATTGGGATAGACATCTTCAAGGAAGCGAAGAATCTGTTGAAGTGATGTGCACACTTGTTGTACAAATGTGTAACAAAGTTGCGCTACATAAGCGCCCGGTTCCCACGCATTGGGGACCACCCATAGACACTGCCAACACCCATTGGGACAACCCAGGTCATCATGGGATGACTGGTGTTGACAGGATTGCTAAAAGTGCGCAAGCACTGTTTAGCAATCTGTACATACATTACAAGCGCACGACTCCCACGGTCAATGCAACGTTCCCACGTTCAGCGCCCCATTAGTAGGTCTGTTGACCTCTATTGTGACCGCCGGAACAGGCACCGGAACGCCTCGGTCTCCGCAGGGAAGCAAAAGGAGCGAAAATAAAACATGGAGCCATCATTAGAATGATGTCTGGCATGTTCCCAAGCTGCTCCGGAGCTAATCAAATTCGGACGCGATTTAGTGGACACCAATCTTCACGCCTCGCGCAGAACAGTACCCGTGGGAACCTGGGATGGTCATTTTCCATACATGTCTAGAGTAATAGACACAAAGAGTCAATAGAGCGCAAATCATTACATATTATTGATTGATTGCATCAACACATCATTAGTGATTGTTACCAAGGCAATTAGAGTGCATTAGGACGCTTCTACAAGCTTCTGATCAAACTATAATAGCCTATAGTTTAACAGAATCTTGGCCACCCCTTCTGACTTGGCAAACTTGTGCCAGGCAAGGACCACACTGTAAGGGCAACCTCAAGATGGCCGACAGCGCAGGCCTAGCAGAGGGAGAATCCAAAGATAATGAATAAGACTAACTACAGTACATGAGAGGGCTGCTCACCTAGCAGAGGGAGAATCCAAAGAGAACAGGATAAGGATTCTCCATGCTAGGAAGCGAAGTATATACTGTAGTAGTGTGAGAGGAATGCAGGATAACTGTACAGTACACCAGCCACAAGTCCGAGTGAATATCACAAGGTACAAGGAAACATGTGATAATGAAGTGGAGGGTAAATGCACAGGAGTCGTGCCAGCGACTTGGGGAAGTAAGGGCGAAGAGTAATGAAGTGGGGGAAAAGGATAGAGGTAACCCGGACGAGCCCCAAAGAGTATAGACAAGTCCGAGCGAGTCCGAAGTGTCTGAAACGAGTCCGAGCAAGTCCGAAGTGTCCGAAGTGCGGGAAGACTCCGGAGTCACCGGACACGGCTCGGATGCGAAAGGAGTGGGTGGAAAGGAAGTGGAAAGGAAAGGGAGCGAAAAGGAACGAAGGGGAATGAAGGGAATGTAGGTAAGAGTCCATGGGATGAAGGAAAGGAGAGAAAATAGGAGTGTCCCCTTACACACACCACATGGAGCACAGATGGTCTCCACGCAGTAGAACCTAGGAGCAGAGAAGTAGTTGTTATACTTGCTGCCACTGACCTGTTCAACCTCCTGCTCTGCAAGGTCGTCATGCTCTGGCAACTCTGCTCCTCCACCAACAGGCAACCACTCCTGCCTCTCCTCCTGAGCCCTCCTCAACATCCTCTGAACTCCTAAGAGTGAGGAGTTGGCATAGCGAGCACGGTAGACCCTCCACTGCTCCTGGTGATTGACACATGCCTGAGTCCCAGCCACCTTGACTCTGACACAGTCTTTCATGCGACAACGGACCCCCATCTCGTCCTGATGTGCCTTGCAAAACACTCCAGTCTGAGCATTAAGCAATCCCACCTCGCACCCTGGCATGGCACAGTGACGAGGCCCCATGACAATGCCATCAATAACAATCATGCGAACGTCAGCAGGATTGCTAAGGGCAGCCCCCCAGCAGGTTCAGATGCATCACTGGCTGGGACATCATCAACATCCATGGCCTCAGCATCTTCCACAGCAGGGCCTGCATACTCTGGGACAGCATGATTTTCATCATGGCCAGCAAGAGCAGCAGGATTGTCAGGCTGATTAGGGATCACGTCAGCCACATCCTTGAATGCATGACAACACTCATCGCAAGAATGCCCCTCTGCACTGCGGATGATTCCCCCATCTCCCAGATACTCATAAGCAGCAGTCACGAGGTCCTTGACAGCCATGTTGTCCACAAAGAGGAGCTCAGCACCACTAGGCTCAGCAAGCAACCGGATGGACTCCAAGACAAAAGCCTTCCAGGTATGCCTGCGAGTGAGTTTGAATGTGGTGCCACTGGGCTGGACAAAGGAGTAGTTCCAGAACTCAGTTACTGCAGCTGTCGAGGCATGAAAGCTGTAGTTGGCATTGACAATAGCCCTGGAGACCAGGCGGTCAACCCAGACCTGAGTTCCGACTTTGAGGTATTTGGTGTCTGGAAGGTGAATGGCAAGGCGGCGATCGTTAGAAGGGTCGTTGAAGCTCTCATGGTCAGCCCAGAACATGGAGGAACATGCAGGACATTTCCCTGCAAGTACTGGAACCTTCTCAAAGCACTCGCTCCCCCTAAGCAAGGTGGCTTTGGAGACATCACGGTACCACTGGTAGTGAGTCAGAGCACGACCAGGACATGTAGCATCGGAGCATTGCATGACAGTGGGAGTGATGATGAGGACAGGGCGAATATTGGCAGTGGAGATGGGAAGGAGCTTGCGACGCAAAGTACCTCTTTTGTTATGAGAGTAAAGATTGAGGGAGCGACAAAAGAAGTCAAGCTTTTTACCCAGAATAGTGGTCTGTTGCTTTGGAGACTGGTCTTCATGGCGATCGGTGGGGAGGAATAGGGTGTCGTAGGTAGTTCTGGCATCAGAAGAGACAGAGGTGTTGGTGCTAGAACCAGATGCAGAGCCAGAGTTGGAGCCAGAGTCAGAGCCAGAGTCAGAGTCAGTGTTCATTTCAGTATCCGAATCATCATCAGCAACAAGGGAGTCAAGCTGAAGCCTGTCTTTGATAGCACGGACAAAGGCAGCCATCCAGCTAGTCACGACCTGAGTGTTGGTAGGGACAGCTTGTTGTTGACCATGGAGGTTGAGAAGGTCGGTGTTGTTGGTGACACTGAAGAGGAGCATCAAGACAGTGGCAAGAGTGATGTCGGCACCAAAGCTGGACTTGATCACTTTGGCAAAGTCTGCAAAAAGGATGCCTGGGAAGGGATCCTCCAGTGATGCTGCAGAGACACATGGAAGGAGTCCGAGGAGCAGCCAGAAAGAGAGCAGCATGAGCAGGGCCTGTAAAGAAAAACTGCTGAAGTCAGTACAAGTTGAAATGCAAGGTGAGATTCAAACAAGAAATGGCAACACGAAATCATTTGAATTACAACTATGATTCACAAACAGACTACCTACTTCGAAGTTGAGGCCTTCTTGGACTTCTTTTCCTTGGCCAGCCTGGCCTTCTCCTTGGCCCTCTTCTCCTTGTCCTCCTTGTCCTTCAACTCCTTCGTGACAGCTGCCAAGTTCTCCTTCGTAAGCTTGCGAGTTCCCCAGACAGCTCTGTGTTCCTCTGAGCTCTGATCGTAAGTGGGGTCGTTCAACAGAGCATGGAGGATGGGGAACTGCTCAGCGTTGTCGAACATCTTGGAGTAGGTGTTGTAGTTGGTCTTGCGGATGTAGAGTGAGCGAAGTTCGTCGATGGAAAGATCACGACCAGTCCACTTCCCTGCATTCTTCAGTTCCAACCACTTTGCTGGGACTTGGGCAGCTGCCTTCATCTGAGCATAGATCTGCAGGATCTCACCCTTCTGAGATGCCTTGGGCGTCATGCTGTAGGGCACCTTCAGCATGATGGCAAGCTGAAGAAGGGCAGGGTCAGAGAAGGCAGTGGTGAGCTGCTGGGAAATGGTAAGCGAGGCGGTGTCAGCACCAGCAGTGGGGACGGAGGCAGAGGGGGCAAGAGATGAGATGGTGGAGGGAGCGTCGACAGAGGTGACAGAGGGGGAAGGAGGGGTGTGGAAGCCAGAGCCTTGGGTTGAGCGTTCCTGAGTGAGATAGAGTCAGAATTTTTTTCAAGTCAAGTCGGAATTTGCTTACCATTAACAACTCCATTTCCTTGTTGTTGTCCCACTCAACAGGCTCATCCCCCTCAATAGCCACAGCAAATGGGCCCTTCATCTCCCCAGTCATCGTTGACCCACAACGAGATGTCAGAGTCTAAATGGCAACAAATAGTAAGCAAAAAACGCGAAGTCAAAATGTGTAACATACCTGCAAGAGCAGTCATTTTCTTGACCATAGCCTTGAGGACAGGCCACAAGGTGTAAGCCAAAGGGATCCTTACAGCACGGGGCTTAGCGATGGTGCGGTCCTCATGCTTGTACACCAAGACCCTGCCCTCATTGCAAATGGGGACAAGGTCTGGTTGCTGGGTATCTAAGAAAGAAGTCAGTAAGTGAGCCAAGTATGAAAAGCACAAACTCACTGAAGTCAGCCATGTTGGGGGCTACCCCATGTCCTTTGGCCCTTGCAACTCCACCCATGGTACGGGAGGCGCCTTGCAAATCATTGAAGTCGTCAGCGATGGGAGAGGAAGGCATATCGTTGAACCCAGCAAAGACAGGAGCAGGCAAAGGTGTATTGTTGGCATGGTCAGCCTTGCTGCGCTGAGCTACATGGCGATGGGCGATGGGAGAGGCGCTAGCCTGACGCTTGGAGGCAGGCAGGTTGCGAGGGGTGATGTTGGAGTCGAGGTCCATGGCATCGTCACCTGTGTCAGAACTCTTGTCGTCACCTGCATTGGACACCTCATCACTCAACATCTTTTCCTTCTCCTCCTCGCTCGACGTCTTCTCCTTCTCTTCATCGTCATCCACATCTCCTGGCCCTTCATCACTCGACTTCTTTTCCTCCTCCTGATCCTCCTCTTCTTCGTCATTATCCTCTGGCTCATCCTCTGCGTCAGATGAGCCGAGATTGGTCAAGTTGCGACCTTTCCCCTTGTCTACGACTTGGGGAACATCACCCGGATCAGCACGGCAAACATGGGTGGAGACAATCCTCGGAGCGACTGGGGGTAGGAGAACCCCAGTCCCAGCTCGACGAGGTGGCGGAGCAAGAGCAGCCCCACTCTCACTGAGAATTCTAGACGTACTGGTGCGGACAGTCAGTTTGTGGACACAAGCAAGAGCAAGTAAAAACGTACACAGTCATCTTCTGCACTGTAGGTTCTGTTAAACTATAGGTTATTATAGTCTGATTAGAAGCTTGTAGAAGCGTCCTAATGCACTCTAATTGCCTTGGGAACAATCACTAATGATGTTGATGCAATCAATCAATAATATGTAATGATTTGCACTCTATTGACTCTTTGTGTCTATTACTCTAGACATGTAAGGAAAATGACCATCCCAGGTTCCCACGGGTACTGTTCTGCGCGAGGCGTGAATATAGGTGTCCGCTAAATCGCGTCCGAATTTGATTAGCTCCGGAGCAGCTTGGGAACATGCCAGACATCATTACAATGATGGCTCTGTTGAAGTGATGTGCACACTTGTTGTACAAATGTATAACAAAGTTGCGCTATACCAAGCGCCCGGTTCCCACGCATTGGGGACCACCCATAGACACTGCCAACACCCATGGGGACAACCCAGGTCATCATGGGATGACTGGTGTTGACAGCATTGCTAAAAGTGCGCAAGCACTGTTTAGCAAACTGTACATACTTTACAAGCGCACGACTCCCACGGTCAATGCAATGTTCCCACGTTCAGCGCCCCATTAGTAGGTCTGTTGACCTCTATTGAACGCCTCGGTCTCAGCAGGGAAGCAAAAGGAGCGAAAATAAAACATGGAGCCATCATTAGATTGATGTCTGGCATGTTCCCAAGCTGCTCCGGAGCTAATCAAATTCGGACGCGATTTAGTGGACACCTATATTCACGCCTCGCGCAGAACAGTACCCGTGGGAACCTGGGATGGTCATTTTCCTTACATGTCTAGAGTAATAGACACAAAGAGTCAATAGAGCGCAAATCATTACATATTATTGATTGATTGCATCAACATCATTAGTGATTGTTACCAAGGCAATTAGAGTGCATTAGGACGCTTCTACAAGCTTCTGATCAAACTATAATAGCCTATAGTTTAACAGGCTCCATGTTTCATTTTCGCTCCTTTTGCTTCCCTGCTGAGACCGAGGCGTTCCGGTGCCTGTTCCGGCCGTCACAATAGAGGTCAATAGACCTACTAATGGGGCGCTGAACGTGGGAACGTTGCATTGACCGTGGGAGTCGTGCGCTTGTAAAGTATGTACAGATTGCTAAACAGTGCTTGCGCACTTTTAGCAATACTGTCAACACCAGTCATCCCATGATGACCTGGGTTGTCCCCATGGGTGTTGGCAGTGTCTATGGGTGGTCCCCAATGCGTGGGAACCGGGCGCTTGGTATAGCGCAACTTTGTTATACATTTGTACAACAAGTGTGCACATCACTTCAACATTCAACACTTTTGCGGAACACTTTGCCCTCTTTGTTGAGACATGTCCAACAGACTGCTTGGCGATTATGGATAACATGGAGTACTACTATCTCAGCACCGAAGCAGCGAAGATTGATAAGCCTACCGCCGAATTAGGCCCTATGCATCGTATCGCTGATATGGACTCCGATGATGCTGGAGTCTTTGCTGCGATTGACGCCTCCTTCACCGCCATCGCGACAGGGCTCTTGATTACAGACGATGACATCAAGGCAGAGAGGCTTGCCGTCTATACGTTGGCTGACCAAAAATTCATGCAACAGGCCATGGCACATGCTTACAATGGACATGTTTTCGAGGATGCTGTAACACCTGGCCAACCATGGATGGCGATCTCTTGAGTGGCAAGCAATGTGGATTCTGAAATATTTGATGCTTGGCGCTCTCAACTTAAACACTATACCCGTGCCAACGATGAAGAAGCAGTCGGCTTGGCTGCTGTCACAGACTCAGACATATGCAATGTAGGCAGCCTGAGGACACTACAGGCGAAGTGTTTGCCTGGCGTAGTCGTCGACGATACGGTTGAGCTTTCCAGTGGAGGACTTTTCTCTCCAAAGATACGTCTCAACGCCAAACAACAACGGGCATACGACATTGTGAATCTCCATTTGCTATGCTCCTTTACAACCGGGGATGGATCACAGCTTTTGATGATAGTCAACAGTCCCAGTGGGACGGGGAAGAGTGCTCTCATTGATGCCATTACAGATCTGATGTCAAGCTTTGGTGTCGGCCATTGGTTGGCAAAAACTGCCACATCTTGGGTCGCTGCCACCAGGATAGGCGGAACAACCGCTCATTCATGGGCAGGACTCGGCATAGCCACAAAAGGGGGGATGGCTCAGAATGCCTCAGCAAAGACTCTGGCAAAGAGAAAGTCAAACATGGAATACACCAGATATTTGCTGATAGACGAATTCTCGATGTTGACAAAGGGCTTCCTGGAGAGCTTGTCCGAGGTTCTACCACCAACTCCTCCTATTTGTTGACGCAAGCTGATGCATCCACAGGCCTGCTGTCAAACGAAATGCCGCATCGGCAATTGCAATCGTGGGGCCTTCGGCGGACTGAACATCATTTCCTTTGGTGACTTCCATCAATTCCTGCCCATCATACGCAAAGAGGCCCTATACTATCCAGACAATGCTAGACTGGGCGCTCAGGTAGGCCAGCAGCTTTATGAGCTGTTCACGACTGTGGTCACTCTGACGACACAGATGCAGGTGAGAGACGAGGCTTGGACGGCAATGCTGGAGCGTCTGAGAGAGGGTGCTTGCACTAGTGCCGACATTCGCATGGTGAAAGGACTAGACATATCAGCCAACTCGTGCCCCACTACAGACTTCTCAGTGGCTCCGTGGAACGACACTGTGCTAGTTACATCCAGGAATAGTGTCAGGGACGCTTGGAACACTGCTGCACTGTGCCGACATTCCTTGTCGACAGGGCAATTGACCTATGTGTGCCCAGCGGAAGACACCATCAGTAAAGATAGGTGTCCTCTGAGCAGACTGGAAAAACTAATTGCGGCTGGCATGGCCGGGAAAGCAACAGGAAGGTTAGCGTTCAGAACAAATGTGGCAATAGGCATGCGAGGCATGGTGCTTCTGAATATTGCGGCTGAGTCAGATCTAGCCAATGGTAGCAGAGGCACAGTGGTAGATATCGCCCTCAACGCTTGCAACGACGAACTTGTGGTCTCAGAGGACGGCCAGGTTAGACTCAAATATCCGCCTGCGTGTGTGACTTTCCGGCTGGATCACTCAACCTTTCCCCAATTCAATGGCTTGGGGAGGAATGAGATACCCCTCTTCCCATCCAAAACGAGCTACTCCCTGCTGCTAGAGAACGGTTGGAAAAAGACAGTACAAAGGCGTCAACTCGCAATCACTCCTGCATACACTTTTACAGACTACAAGTCGCAAGGTCAGACTATAGAGCATGTTGTCGTCGATCTTGCCGAGTCTACCCGGATCTCTATGGACCTGTTCCACACATATGTTGCTCTGTCTAGGTTGCGTGGCCGGGACAGCATCCGCTTGTTAAGAGACTTTGACAGCTGGTTGCTGACAACACACCCTAGTGTTCATCTCAGGCCCGAAGATGCCAGATTGGAGAGGCTGAATGTGGCAACTGCTAGAGAACTGCTCGACCTTAATGGTGCCAGCAGCAAGACCATTTAGCTCTAAGTTTCACACTACGTAGGCATCAAATGTGCATTACATACTACTATGATCACGGACACGTCTGACACAGGGATTGCCTTGGCCATTCTGGTACATTGGGACACCGTCGCTCAAATATTTAAGTCGGGCAGTCATACAATAGCAACCATTGACTACCTATGGAAGCGAAGCCAACATTCAAGCTGTAAGTCGGTGCGTGAATGAGTCTCTATGCTGGAGCAGCACTTACAATTTTGACAGTGGCCTCAAGCATGCCAGCAAGAGCTACCTTGTTGGGATTGGCAGTATCAGGCAGCCTGATCCTCAGCCCAGGAACTGCACCGCATTAAAGCTGAGATCAAATGCGGTTGGAAGTTGTGGATTGCAGGCCTGAAGTTGCCGGCGAGTGAGAGTTTAGTTGTGGCTGCAATATCCCTATGCTGGCGTGCTACATAGACCTGGCTGGCAAGGTTCCGCCCTGGAAGACAGATATGATTTGCGTGAATGTACTTCATGTGAAGTTGACCATTGGCTTGGTTGGGTACAGGGTTTTCCTTATGTGAGTGGAGGGCATTGTACAAGATGGGCGATTGGAAGCGTCAGGTGAGCCTTTGGTGGAGGCTGCGGCGACAAACGGCCTTTCTGTAGGAGTGTTGCCTGACGGTTCCTTCTGTGAGCAGTTCGTAGTAATGCTTTAACCTGGGACATTAGCATGACATCGCTGTCGCGATGAGCACTGGTCAGGCCCTTCAAGATCAACCTGGCTTCTGTGGTGTGTCTCTATCAGTGGTTGGGTAGTGTGCGCGAGGACTTCAATCACCATTATATATGTGCCATATCTGCTACAATGAGGATTACTCCCTGCCTGAGAGCCACCACCTCAGGTACGTCAAGTAAAACATGGCATGTGCGATTTCTGTGGGCGACTTCAGTGGCTGTGTGATGCAAAAGCACAACTAGAAATTTGACGCACCACTGTCTGACATGACATATTCAACAGGCACTAGAGAAGGCATCCCGGCGTCACTGTCAGCGTCTACTTCAGCATGGTTCGAGTTCGCTGGGCTGGCGGCAGGCGCCAAGACGGGCAGCAGTTCTGCAGGCGGGTCCGGGCCCACCTGGAGCCTAAGGTTGATGTCCGCGGCAACCATTCAAGCTACATCGGTTGGACCTACATCCAGCCGTGACTACACGGTGGAGACAATGCCCACCACAGCGACAAGAAGCCACTTTCTGTGTCACAGAACAATGAACACCTTCGCATGGACCATGCCAAATGAAATGGCAGCTTCTTGGCAAAGCACAGCCGCCCTTCCTACTTTGGCTACGCCACATGTCGGTCAGTCGGTCAGGACGACGAGTATAGGCCTGCTCACATGGACGGAAGCGGTTTAATCCTACAAACGTCTGCTTGTGCCACCGGAGCAACCTGTACAACACGGTGCCATGTGACATTCCAGGGCCTTGGCCGAGCAACAGGTACTCGTGAGGCACATCACAGGAGCGCCCTCTATATTGGGCTTGGACTTGTCAGCCTGCGATAATGGCAAAGGTTGAACTCACTGATGATATATGTGAAGTTGGTGGCCATCAGGAAGTGGTATTCACACTCTGGCGTGAGTACGCATTATTTAGTATCATGGGTGGACAGCACGGATGGTGCATTGTTTGTTTGATATGATGATGCTTCGTTCTAGAGGGACGACAGGGTCAATGAAGATGTCGGGAGTCTGTAAGGGCAACCTCAAGATGGCTGACAGTGCAGGCCTAGCAGAGGGAGAATCCAAAGATAATGAATAAGACTAACTACAATACATGAGAGGGCTGCTCACCTAGCAGAGGGAGAATCCAAAGAGAACAGGATAAGGATTCTCCATGCTAGGAAGCGAAGTATATACTGTAGTAGTGTGAGAGGAATGCAGGATAACTGTACAGTACACCAGCCACAAGTCCGAGTGAATATCACAAGGTACAAGGAAACATGTGATAATGAAGTGGAGGGTAAATGCACAGGAGTTGTGCCAGCGACTTGGGGAAGTAAGGGCGAGGAGTAATGAAGTGGGGAAAGAGGATAGAGGTAACCCGGACGAGCCCCGAAGAGTATAGATGTGTCCGAGCAAGTCTGAAGTGTCCGAAGTTCGGGAAGACTCCGGAGTCACCGGACGTGGCTCGGATGCGAAAGGAGTGGGCGGAAAGGAAGTGGAAAGGAAGAGGAGCGAAAAGGAACAAAGGGGAACAAAGGAAATGTAGGTAAAAGTCTATGGGATGAAGGAAAGGAGAGAAAATAGGAGTGTCCCCTTACAGAGTCCGAGTCCTCGCGGAGTACCAATGTTATGAACAGGCTGTGCAGGTGGAAGATAAGCATGGAAGGTGACACACTTACCAACTTAAAGACCAGAGATCAAACCGGCATCGACGCAAAACATGGTGACCAGCTTCTCCCTGTCACTCAGTAAGTACTATTGGCACCCCAACGAAACATGCCTGAGGTGAAATGACATCCGTATCCATCTCAGACAACAAAGCACATTTCCGGCTGCACATTATGGGGCCACAATGTCATCAGGTCCGTCGAGTGGCAAGTTTACTACTCGGACATGGGTCGTTCATGGCAAGTGCACATATCTTGACGTGAAGTAGGTGCCTTTTGCGGCCCAGCAACTTTAAATTGTTGAGGGCATCCCAGTACACCTTAGACCGCCGCGGGCAGCTCGACAACAAACATTCAGAGGGTCAGATGCCGCGTGGAAGCGGCTGCTGGCAGATCCGAAGGCCAACTGACAAGGAGGGGTCCTATAAATCTTAAAACTCTATTGCCTTTCCCTCAACAATTACTCCTACGTGCAGTCTTGCAAATATGGCCAGCCCTCCTGTGAGTCTAGATCTCAATGTCCTGTCCGTGTCAACTCACAAGCCCCAGATTGCCAAGATTTTCTATGTGTATGATGTGCACCGAATGATTATACAGTATTTGTCCCTTCGACAGCTCCAGGGGTATGGCTTGGTTTGCCGAGTCTCACAAAACACTGTGCAGGGCCTGCTCTGCTCATGCAACAACGTTGTCAGGCTCCTTGCTCAGTTTCTACCATTGCATCACATACCCTACTTTTGTTGCGTCCAGAAGGCCACAGGTACACTGATAGGTGGCTCCATGGCCTTGCAACTCTTTGTGCGTCAGAAATATGGACGTTCCGACCTTGACCTATATGTTAACCAGCTACATGTTGGAGACTTAACAGATGTGCTCCAAATCGGCATCAGATGTGAGAGGGTGGCCTCACCTGCGTCACTGAGGAAAGGGAGCGCGGATGTTGCCGAAGAGCTTTACCTGACATGCGGCGTAGACGGAGTGCAAGATTTCGTGACACCTACCGGGCGTGTAATTCAAGTCATCACCACGCGTTCGGCACCGGTTTGGTCTATATTGAGGCACCACTCTAGTGAGTCTGGCCCTCACCTGCCCAAGTCACAACACACTAACGGTGGCAGCCACCGTCATAAACTTCATCAGTGCTTCTTACAGTTATGCACTATATGGACGTGAGACGCTGGGAGACTTCTTTGCACTCTACACATGACATGGTGATGATGTCATTGCTGTCAGGACTAAATACAAGGGAAGAGGATGGGAGACTATCGACTATGGTGGCAGCCCTCCCTCAGAGACTGATGCAAGCACGTTCGCCGACATGGACAGGGAGGTCAGTGATGCACAAACTTGGATCATTAAACTCAACACGACATCTTTATATACCCAGGGGGCCGAATCGGCGGCCGTGAGCAAGGCAGATGTGAACGTTGCCAAGTCAAATCCGCTTGACAGCCGGGAGAGGGTGGTGCGGTCGCAATCTTGGGCACTGGGCTATCATCCCTGGGGTGAAGCTTTTGTGTGCGTGGCCCCGCCAGCCAAGTTAGTGGAAACAGATGATCAGTGTCCATTCACAAAGCCTATCGGCACCGACATAGAGGACGAGGACAAGTAGTACATAGACTACCTGCACGAAAGCAATGTGTTAAGGGACAACAACGATTGTGAGAAAAATGCTGTCGTAAAAGGAAGGATGTGATTTCACCCTAATTGGGACAGTTCCAAGGCTGGGGACCTTGCTTTTCAAGCAAGGTAATACAGTAATCAACCGCCCAATGGGACAAGTTCGAATGCGGAACGTGCTACTTCAGAAATTCGCATCGGACACATGAGAAAAGTTTACGGACACTTTTGTAAGTACTCAAGACATGATCTGTGATTTTTCCATATTTTTTGAGGTGAGCATTTCTGTGTTCTACACTACATATGTCGAGAGCTCCATCCTAGCCAATGGGACAGTCACAACTGCCCTAAAACGGCTCGGCCCGCCAGGGCCGCCACGCGGTGGCTTGTTGATTCTCACGCGTAATCCACCACCTCTCGTGAGTTCTAACTTCTCCCCGCACTCTCTCGTTGTTGGGCATGGTCAAGAACATTCTTGCAGGGCACAGGACATGTCTCGGAGCTTCTATAGCATCCAGATTAAGGGTAAAGTCAGAGAGGCAAGATTGAGACAACGAGACAGGGGGAGTCGGCGACACCTCCCTTTTTGGCCTGTGACCCGAGTGACTTTCCTAATGGAAAACGAGCTTCGACCGTCCAGGCAGCCTGTCCTTGAATTGCAACATAACTGACACTAATACCTTGGTGATAACCTCCAATGCAGGGCTAAACATTAGCGTAGATGCCTGAGGTGACGCTAACCAAGTTTTAAATCGATTGCCGCAAGATTCATCGAGAAACTTTACTGTCACGCTGTTGTCTCAAGCGGAAACAGGCTTGAAATGTCAAACATAGCCTCGCGTAATATTTCTGGCTTGCGCTACAGGCTTATGAGCACGCTAGCAGATGGAGGATAGTTCTCGGATCCCGTCAAAAAAATATCGAAGCAGAAACTCCACAGGAACGGCCGTGGGAGACGTTTGTCTCAATGGCTGATGGTGTCCCATTGGGCGGTTGATTACTGTAGCCCTAGCATGCTACGAAATTCTCTCATTCTTCACGTAGGGAGCCTTCTCTTCCTTCCTTTTTGGAGTTTATTTAATTCCATCTACTCCCCCTCGGAATACCGAGCCGAGGATTTCGTCGATCAGCAACGGTCAATCTGTCTTCAATGAACGGTACTTGATGAAGTTTTTACAATAGCTCTACCACCACACACTTGCTACGTAAACGGTAATCAGACAGGAAATCCTGCCGTCTCAAGCCGTCCACACTCTCGCAATGAGCTCAGTGAGACCTACGGACGGCCGATTAGCCATCGAAATCACAAGCGCCGGTTGCGGCACTCACCAATATCGTTCGTATTGAACTGGTAGACGCCAACGAGCACACCAACGGTCGCCGTCCTCAGAGTCCAGCTCACGATGGGCCCAATGAGGGGGAACTTGCGCGGGTGGAGGTAATCCACAATCATCGAGTCGAACTACACCGTCTTACTGTAAGTATATGCATATCACCAAGATCAAACAAAGCGAATGCGCACCCCAATGTGACTATGCATGACCAGGCTGATGCCGAGTATGCCATCGAGGATGGGGTAGTTTGTTCCGGAGGTTACGAAGGCGGCTGCAGTGAGCGGAACCAGCCCGGCTGAGAGGAGTCTTTCGAACGCCCAGTGGTACGAGCCATGCGACCTGGAAGGCGGCGGGAAGGTCGTTGGGTCGTTTACAGTGCCCTTGTAGATGGCTACGCTTCCGAGATGAATGGAAGCGCGGAAGGAAGATAAATGGACTCACGACCACCGGGAACGTAAGCAGTGGAGGCAGCGTGTCTCACTATGATAAATGAATGGCGTTCAGTGGCTGCAGCGTTCGTAATGCCCGCTCAGCAACGCGCACCTTGGTGAGCAGCAGCAGGCAGTCTGCGGGAAAGCGTCGTTCTGAGCATCGAGGTGGACATTGAGAGGAAAGGAGGTCCGGAATCGCCCGGCCAATGAAACCGCGTGCTTTATGGCGAATTGTTTACTTAGGGGACTTGGACGTCAAAATCATAAAATTGAATGCGACAACAGAGATACAGGCAGCTCGCGAAAAATAGTGAAGGACATGATCATCCAAGTAGTAGTAAGGGGTAAAGAAACATGAACCATCACTGGAACATGAGTGTGTAGTACGTGAACGTAAACGACGATCCCGGCTTGTCCTCTACAAGACAATGCAATGGTGCTTCTTGCTCCCCTTGGACCGGGTCAGGAGCGCAGCACGGGTGGCATACTGGAACACCTCGCGCACTCCCTCGCCCGACTTGGCGGAGCATTCCAAATAATGTCTGGCACCAATCTTCTGGGCAACAGCCATGCCCTTCCCACACACGAGTCAGCACCAAGCACGCAACAACGAAACAGCGCCAAAGAGCGTACCTCTTCCGGGGTAACCGGCCGCTGGCTCGTCTTTCTGAGCTCCTCAATCACACGCGGGTCCTTCCTGAGGTCCTTCTTGCAGCCGACGAGGATGATGGGCAGCCCAGAGCAGAAGTGGAGGACTTCGGAAATCCACTGTGTGATTTGCGAAAGCGGTGTTCCATATCGCATAGCATAGCATTACGTCAAATCGGTTCCGGTTGAGTGCACAGACGAGCGACGACTCGGGCGCAAAGTACGCACCTTTTCTTGGACGTTATCTAACGAGTCAGGCGAGTCGACGGCGAAACAGATGAGGATGACGTGGGAGTCGGGATAACTGAGGGGGCGAAGACGATCGTAGTCTTCTTGCCCAGCCGTATCCCACAACGCCAACTCGACATGTTTGCCATCGACTTCAACATCCGCCACATAGTTCTCGAAAACGGTGGGCACGTAGACCTACAAATCCGTTAGTCACATTATCAATCACCACCAGCACCAACTGCAGGCGCGCAACCGCAACAGCCTTCTGCATCAGCAAAAAGGACCGGTAACGCACCTCAGGGAATGTTCCTTTCGAAAAGACAATCAGCAGACAGGTCTGGAGACAGAAACGGTCCGTCAGTGGGTCTGTAGTCCAAAATCGTTCCATATGGGCGAAAAGGCGCACCTTGCCACAAGCACCATCACCAACGATGACTAGCTTCCTTCTGATATCGGCCATTTGGATGGATGGGATGGGGCGGGGTGAAAGTGAGCAACAAGGAGGGAGTGTAGACGACGAGGTTGTGCTGGTTGAAAGAGTTGAGGACGGCACTCAAACTGGCGGTCGCCCAGCTTTCAGGCGCCGCTCAAATTGTCTCAGAATACGTAATGTCCTTGGCCTGTGCACTGCCGCAGCCCGTGACCTGCCCCTCTCGCCAAAATAACGCGATTTATTATAATGCACTATCAACAACTAAAGTAAAAGTAAACGCAACGCGACTCCCAGAGACAAGCACATAAAAGACAACAAATGATAGAATAATGTATAATACAACCAGACCACCCTTAACCGTCAGCAGCCTCCTTCTCCAGCTTCTTCTTCATCACGCTCACTAGAAAGAACAAAAATAAGTCGCGTAGCCAGCAGCAACCATCTGACACCGACCTTCGCGAGAGACCTGTCCGGAGGTCATCCAGCCGGGAGGGAAAGCGGCCACCACCTTCTGATATACCGACTTCCTCAGCCCTTGTTCACTGACAGTAGCCATCGAATTTTCAAACGCACTGCAAATCAAAGATCCATCATCAGCTGTGCCGCCCGGGAAGATCCTACAGAAAACAAAGCAAGCACCACCCACTTCTTCTCGTTTTCCAAGCGACACAGTTCGTTGCTGATTGAAACCAACTGCCATATGATCAGCTTCATCGCGTCGGAGAGCTTATACCGCTTCGTCGGCGCATTCTCTTTCGCCGAGGTGCCGGCACCAGATGTATCAACCTGTGACGGCGGAGGACCGTCAACTTCCATGTCGTGCGTAGGCGGCTCTGGGTCCTCTGTTGGTGGCCGACTCGGCTGTTCACCACTCCCCGCACCAGCCGACGACCCTCGGCCTAATTCAGTCTCCACGCGCAACTGCTCCTGCCGCTGTGCTGCACGTAAAAGGGCGTTCGTAAGTCAAGCCGCTCGAACCGGGAAGGAAGCCTACCCCATTGACTCAGAGTCCGTTCGTACTCCTCTTCCGCCTTTGCGAACCCCGCCTTCGCCAGGTCAGCAAGTTCTGCCAGCAATTCGTCCTGCCGATCAGTCAGAAGTTTGCAGTGATCTATGAACACTGTCCGTTTGATGAGTTTCTATCAAATGTGTTATATTTCAGATACGTAGATACGGCCCGGAAAGGACATACGGTCATGGTGAACTTGTTATAGGGGAACAGTTCCGGCATGAGCGCGAAAAAGTAATCATCATACTGGTCGAGTTGGATGGCTTGCACGGCGATAGAGTTGAGCAAGGGCTTGATAGACGGCGGAAACTTTCCCTTCTGCCCCCAATCCTCTGTGCATTTCATCATATGAGTGAGATGCGCGCTGCGCACCACCGAGTATAAAACGCACCGTTCGCTATCGCCTGTTTCAGAGTCTTGAACGACTCCTGGAGATCGGGATGAAATGTCTCGACATCAATCATTTTCTTCTTCTTGCCGCCTTCCATCACCGACAGATGTCGCTTGCCCTTCACAAGCGTGTGTCCGAGCAACCCAACTGAGCCTATAGACGGAACAGGTTTGTTGCGCGGTGTCCCAAGCTCGTCTTCAGCATCGGACATCAGCGCAATAGGCGCATCCTTCGTCCCGTCGGTCTTGATCGACGCCAACGCGCGATGCTGCGTCGAAGTGGAAGGATCCGTATGATTCCCCTTCTTAGCTTTCTGCTTCTTCGGCGATCTGCCATACATAGCCTATGTTTCAAAGAGAACCTTGCATCATGACAAATGCGCACGTACTTGTCTTTGAGCAACGCGACCTCTCCGGAAGACACGTAGAACCCCTGCTGCTTGGTCTGCGCAAAATATGTCCGCTCGTCGATGGCGAGTTCCGAGTCATCAATAAAGGGGTCGTTAACGTCGTAGTACTCGGCAGCCAGTGTCTTTTTCTAGCATGGGCTCATTAACGAACTCTAAAAAGACGAAGATATCCACGGCATACCTTGCGTTTCCGAGGTGGTCTCAAGCCATCTTTGATTTTCTCATCATCATCACCCTCGCTCTCGCTGGTGTCGCGCTTGACCGGTATCGGTGTTGGCGGACGCTGGCCCGTCTCTTTTGACAGGGACGAGATATCCACTTCATAGTTACTAGGCCCGCCGAGTTTGATATCAAGCCGGATTGTCTGTCGTGGAGGTTGCGGCGGCGGGGGCGGCGGTGACGGTGACGGTGTGCGTGGTTTGTGGCGCACTGACTTTGGTTTGGCTGATACGACCTTGGACGACGATGAGGATGGTTTTGAGGGTGGTGGATGTTGTTCAGGGGGAGGAAGGACGATGGGAAGGTTGACGGGAGATTGAGCGCGGCTTGAAATGCTGATGGCGCTGTTGTTGTCGTCGACGATGTGGACGTCGTCAGGGACCACGAGGACGTCGGCGCCTGTGGCTGGCATCGCGATGAGTTCGTCGTGGAAGACGGCGAGGGAGAGGAGGGGAGGGAGAGGGGAATATCTGATAGAGAATAAGAAATGATCTGCGTCGTCGCACAGCTGTTGGCAGGCTTCCGCACCCGAAAACGCCCTTTTCAATCGCTTTTCTCTACTGCAAACCCCACTCGCAACGGCCCAACAGCATTCGCAATCTGATTGGCTCGGCATTTCCCATCTTCCACTCGACAAGAGAAAAACATACAAAAAATACAGAAAAATACACGTCACAAAGCGCATGCAACAGAATCACAGCGGCGTGGACATCACAAATAGTGTGAGTCACTTCTGAAGGTCGCTCGTCGCAATAACCACAATATAGAAAATAGATAAATCACTTTCAGACGGCGAAGCTGAGATGGTGAAACATCCCCGGTAACGATGTATGCAATTCGGGGATCAATGGCCGTGTTCTGTCGGCGGATGCGGCATCCCCGAAGATAATGTGAGACAAGTACACGGAGGAGAGCATGTTCGTTCCGGGTCCGATATGAAAGTCTCACGGTCACGATCAACTATTGGCAGTGAGCTGCTTGTTATCCAACCACCTCAATGTCCTCGTTCTGGCGACCAACACCGCTTTCTTCTCTGGATGTTTTCAATAAAAAACTCAGGGTCGAGGATACTCGCCGAGCGACACAACAGAACGCCTATAAACCTGCCTAGAGCTCGAGAAATCGACTGTAGCTAAGACCGTCATGCACGCCAGAGTCCTTGGCTACTTGATTTTGCATGCACCGAACCACACAGCAGAAGCAGAAAACGCCAAGAGCATCGTTTCTTGCGCTGGGAATAGAGAAAAACTGGATGAGTTGGGAGAGTCCTTCGTCAAGTGGTTCATCAATATCTGTAAGCACGATACGACTATAGTCAGAAGGAGCAAAGGCCGGACCCCTACCCCTTCACACCCCCCTAGTCGACCGTCGTTTGATCGAGAAAGAGAAGTAATGGCATCTACACATTTCAACGTGGGCGTGGATGAGCAAGGAGAGCCAACCGACAAAGTACATTTCATTCTAGTATCCCTTCTGCCGTCACCAAGTCTTTGTTTGTCAGAACAAGCTTGCAGCATCGACTTGTCCGTCTTGAAGCGTTTCGGCTATCCAGTCGAGACATTAAACGGCGTTGGAGTCCATTCCCTGGTCAATATTATGACATTACAGGCAGACGTCCATGATCTATTTGATCGTTTACAATTATGGTTGGAGGCCACGGTGAGTATTCTCTTATCCCCACCTCAGGACCTTCTTTTCCAACAACTATCGGTTTCAGGAAATCCCCCATCGCTATCGTATCCAATCTTCCAGGCGCATCGGAGCTATTGTCAGGCGGCGGGAGTTTGTAACGTTTACGACCAGCGATCCGCATCGTTTCCCGCTACCGTCCCCAGAGCTTCTCGCCCTTCATGCAGCTTGCGCCAAGGTCGCCAACCTTTCCGGTGCCGCTGAATTTCTGGATAAGGTTGATCGAGATCTCGAGGAGCTTGATGTCCTCAAGGCAAACGGGGACTCGTCTGAAGTATTAGATGTTGCTATTTGGCGCTTGGCGCATGCAATGTGAACATAAGCCGTGAAGGGTTTTACGGTCGCACTACGCAAAGGATTAACCAGGAAATAACCTTCGCCCTTTTCCCAGAGCACCACGCTCCACCTCAGCAATGCCCAATTTTTCGCTGTACAAATGCGGGAATGTACTATCTGCGCCCCATCTCCGCTCACTATTTGCCAAATACGTATAAGGAACACCCCGAATCACTGGAACACCCAGTTTGCGCACCTGGCGCCGACGGTGACTCCCAAGGACGTTTTTCTCAATCGCTCGGAATGAGATGCATACATGCGCGGCTCGTTGGTGAAGAACAGCTTCAGACTTCCCATGCAGTGGAGAGACGGATGAACCTCGGTTCTACATCAAACTCGCTAATCGGGAGCCTCTCTTACAACGGGTCTGGAGGGAGGGGGCGTGGACGCGTGGACGAGCTTACACGCATAGGTGACGTTGGGGAGCCTCGGCCATGATAAATCGATTATCGAGGGGCCGAAGGTAAGCTCTCAGAGGCTGAGTTTGAATGAAGATCTGATTGTACTATACATATGTAGTAAATCAAGGTTCGGTCCACGCAAGGGACTGTGGGCGCAACACTCTATATATACATCAGCGGTAGCAGTAGAAAATGGCACTTTGATTCCATGTCGACTTTTGCCACCTCATGGCTGGGCTTTGTGACGACCGACGAATATCGCGCAAATCCGCAGTCGATGAACGATGAGCTGCAGCCGTTAGGAAAAGATGCCGGATGCATGAGGTGCGTTGCACAGTACGCGTCGAGGACGGCTTGATCTAGTGGTGTGCAGAGTATACCACGGAGTTCAGCACGAAGACCCAGAATTTGGCTACTTGATACCCGGTGCGTTCACACAGGATAATAAAGTGCCTACCACACTGACGCGGGATACATCTAGTATGGCCCTCCTCCGAGAGCAGACAGACGTTCCGGGAAAGCCAACGGAATACAGAAGTTCAAACTGTGATCCTTGCCACCAAAGTCGGCACGATTGGTGAGGCGATGGGCGTGGACTTCAAGTCCAATCCAGCGCCGGTATTCGAGGCCGGCATTGTTGAGGTGTTGATGGTTGAGCTCAAAGATGGCAAGACCGCGGCTGATATTGCACCCTACCTCGACGAGATGACTTCGATGAGAGGGCACGGTGTCGTGGACGGAACATGGGGTACATCGGACAAAAGTGATGGACAGATTGTCGTGGTCATTGGTTGGAAATCAATTGAGGCGAGTCTGATACAAGCCGCGCCAAACCGTCTGACGACATTACCCAGGCACACCAAGCGTTTGTAGCGGCGGGGGCAACAGAGAGCCTCAAGACGATCATGGGCAGTATTTTAGAAATAGCAACGCTGAAGGCCAACCATGTGCAACTGCATCACTTTGTATTGGAGTAGCTGGAGTCATTTCACCTCATAACAAATCTCCTTGTAGTTTTTACCTACTAGTTGGGCTGTCGAGAGTTGCAACAAAGCGAGTTTGCAAGTGATATGCAGCTTCTCGTTTACCTCTATCCGCGATTGATATCCACCTTCAACGAAACGCTTTATTTGACAAAATTATACCACAGAAGCCCACAGAAGGTAGCTCAGCATTGGTCTATATAAGAGGACGTGAGCTCACTATCCCTGACTCTGGGTGTACTCACAGCCCGCTCTCCAGCGGAACTGGCCCACTCCGACAAGACGCTTCAAAATGAGCGGTTTCGAACGGCAGAGAACGTGCTTGATCTTGTATGCCTGATCATTCAAGATGACGATGCGAGCGAGTGCCAGATCAAATGCGGCAGACCATGTTCACGCCAAGGCGCATAGAGACGAGCGAGAAAAGCCCTTCTTGGGTTCTATTCTCATGATCAGATTACTCGACTTATCATAATCTCGAATAAAGCACTGGTTTACGAGCCTATTCTTGGGTGAGAATATTCATGGCCTTTGGGGGCAAGAACACTAGCGTGATGATAGAGCGCAAGGCGAAACTGCTGGAGTGTGACTGGAAAGGAACTTCGGGATGAATGCGACGAACTGGCATCATACGTAGGTTGCTGAGAGATAAGTAAAGACTTGAAGCAGACAGTGGAATAATACCTCTTGTATTGTGCTACTGGAATTTAGAAAAATGAGTACAGGGAATGAAAAGCAGTAATGCTAGGGAGTGATTTGTCGACCCACGATCTATGTCGGTAGATGTGTCGTACGTCTCTCCGCCAGCGTATAACATAATCCCATTCATCGTCTCCAAACCCAAGAGCGGTAGGATGGATGATCGGGTGCAGACACCCGATGGAAAGCTCGACTGAGGCGTAGAGGCACGCACACAGACGGGGGGATACACCATCTAGCTGATTTGATATGCGTTACAGGTTATTGTGTGGAATATGTACATGAGCGTGTTGGACGAGACAAGATAAATAACATACAACGAGAACAAGAACTAAACGATTCCAAATACGTTAGAAATATGCAACAGCCTAGCATCAATAAATGGAATCAGTCCCTCGGGAAAATGCCAAATAATGAGAGCAGATAAAGCAATGGACAACAATCATGGAACACCATAACCATAAGCAGAACTCTCTAACCCGGCCTTGCTAACTCGCCGCATCGGTTGCAAGGTCTGCTCGTCTACGGGAGCGCGACGCGCATGCCGCCATCTACCCTGCGCGTCCTTAATCTCCATGTCTTGCCCCACTTCGGCGCGTACACTTCCTACCAACAATGTCCCAGCGCTCATCGGTCCAGCATCGCCCTCCCCTCCCAACCCGTTCCCAATCGGCTCCAAGGCTGACACTGGGCCGGCGGTGGTGAACACAGGGGGCAACGATTCACGAATATGACCACCGCGCCTTCCACCAGCACCAACGCCGTGGTATGCCTGGTTTACGCTACTATCCCCTTGCTGTCCTCCGGGAACCGACGGCTGTACGCCAATACTCTTTCCGCCCAATTCTTCTTCCTCGAATGTCATAAGCTCCGAGACGAAGCCAATGTTAGGCGAGATGCCTTTCCTACGCTCGAGGACGAACGCATAGGCTTTTGATAGCGTCCAGTGATTTGCGTGTATCAGATAAGCGATGATAGCCGTCACCGAGCGCGATTTTCCAGCTTTGCAATGTACGAAGGTGGGGGCACTATGCAGGCGAGCGTCGTCTGAGAATCCAAGATATAAGCATCATTCTAATTCGATGGGATGGCCGACTGACCAAGTATATCGCAGACTTCCCTCACCTTGCCCACTACGCCCTCTTCCTCGACATGGTCCCTCATCGCTATTTTCGTATACTTTTCAAAGGTCTGTGCGAGAGCTAACCCATGGTCATTCTCGTCGCACTCGATGGCAAGGTTTAATATTCGTTTGACCCCATGATCTTTCAGCATCTGCAGATGGTCCTCGGCAGACGGCTCTGGGCCCAGGAACAGGAATTGCGGGAGGATGATAGAAACAGTGAAGGGTGGATGTGGGTCTTCTGTTGTCGGGGGACCGTCGGTATCGTCGCTTCTTGGGTCGTGGTCGAGGTCGGAGTGGTGGGGAAACGAGCTGCCAAACGCTGTAGGTGGAGGATCCATGCCGAATGACATGGCCATCGGTGACCGAGGAAACTCTGCATGAGATGGTGACGCAGGGTACGAGATATCGCCGTTTGAAGACGAGTCGCTAGAAACAACATCCACACGGGGTAAGAACGGAGGAAATCCGGGCGCAGGAGATGACGAATCCGGCCGTGCAGTCTTCGGCGACGGAGGAATCCCGTTCTCGTTCCGCGTATCGTCAAACCCATTCAAGCGGCCTTCAAAGACAGGTGCTTTCGGAGTCCCTGGTGAATGCGGCGGCGTATAATATGGCGTAAGCCTATCCTCTCCTCCCTTGTCCCGCGATCGCCCACGTTCGCCTTCACCAAGCTTCTCTCCGGTGTTATCATCATCCTGCATTGCCTGCCCACCGGTCACCGTCTGCGCCATCTTCCCGTAGCCTGCGTTCAGGAATCCCCAGTCGACCGGACTCCTCATGGCCTGGTTCCCGTGCCCCCCATAACCACTTCCTCCAATGCTACTACCCCAAGCCAAAGTGCCATCAACACCGCTGCCTCCGCCTCCGCGAAAGTTGTTAGCGAACCCGCCCCCATCGCCAATAGCACTTGGCGGTACACTTAGCGTCGCTGAACGCCCTTTGACCGACGGCCCAATCCCTGTCGTGCGTAAGCTGAGTTTCGGGAGGCGTTCAGCAGATTTCGTCCGCGTCGCAGACTTAATGTCTAATCGCGGAAGGGAACTGACAGCGGCTGCCGACTTGATGTCCAAGCGTGGTAGACCCTCCGTCGACTTGATATCTAGTCCAAGCTTTGGCTTCGTGGGTTCGACGCCTACGAGATATAAGATATACTGAGCAACGCCCAACAAAAGAAAGCGTGACAGTCCAAACCTGTACTTATAGACGGTAACTTTTCCACTGATCTTGTGTTCAGACGTTGAATGCTTGGCCTGCGGAAATTTGAAGGTGGTAGTGGCTTTCGGAAAGATAGATGAGGATGGGATTGGGAAGGCGGCGGTGATGGCGAGGAATCAATGATAAGATGATTTGGTATCGCGACACTAATTTTGCCACGACCTAGAGAACCAGGGGTACCAGAGGGTGTGGTACTGGGCTGCCGGCCAGGCGAAGATGAAGCTGGCCCCAGACTTGATGACTTAAATCGTCCATTCATGTACGGGGATATGGGTGAAGACGCTGCCATAGCCGAGGGCATCACAGGCATGGGTGAGCGAGGAGGGTCGCCAAGGTATGAGCTAGTATGCGCGGTCAGATACGATGTGGGCGGGGAGACGTGGAGATGATGTAATCTGGTCGGAGACGGAGAGGAGACGTTGGACGAAGATCCTTGCGGATTGGGCGACAAGTTGGGCGAACTCGAGGATGTGGTGAAGTCTTGCCGTGATTCTGAGGGCGACGCGGTAGCAGACGAGCTCAAGTCTATCTCTGGCAGCTGCTTCGACCGCGCGGCCGTTTGTGTGTCCAGTTGGAACAAACCAAGGGAAGGGAGCTTTTTTATGGAGGGAGTGTCGTTTGGCTTCGGTTTCTTCGCATCGGGCTCCGTTAACCACCCACCATTCCCAACGAAGGCAGATCCAGTCGTGCTGTTGCCAGCTACGATATAGCCTGATGCAAAATCCTTCCGACTCAGCGCGGCTGCGAAGCCACCTTCGAGATAACATAAACGGCCAGTAGAGATGCCCCGTAGTATTGGTTCCAGGATATACAGAAGAGTCCAAGAGGCACTATTAGGATCTTCTTTCTGTAAAGCATCCATATGGTGATCGTAGACGACGAGCGTGCCGTCCCATCGTGCACTGGGCTGGCCTTGGACGAGCAGAGAGTCCCACACAGTGAGCGACTCGTCAGTTGTAATATACTGACGAAGAGAATGTAGGGTGGGGAACGTGGTACTCGTCACTGAGCGCTTCTGCTTCCGCGTGCGCTTCAGAAGAAGACTCGGAATCGCAAGGTTGACGGAATCAACTACATGGGCAGCGAGGTGGACTGGCGGGGGGCGGGTATCAATCATGAGTGGACGGGTATCTGTGATGGCAAGAATCGACTGCAGGTGGTCGAGTGTTATGGGCGTAGGCACGAGGGATGTTTGCATGGGAGGTGATAGCGGGGGGTGGCTGATAAGGAACGATGTTGGTGAGGGATTGTGTTCGGACAGCGGTGTGAAGTAGTTGGAGATGATACTCGTCGCGCTCATGGGCTCGTCGCTGACATTGGTGTCCGTTGTCGAAACACTCACGTCCGTATCCACCGTATTTACGTCAGTGTCGACATCCGTTTCGGTGTCATCGGTCGAGCTTGTGGAATCGACGGCGTTCCAGGGTGAGCCTGGCGATTTCGACGACGAGTACGACACCGAGGACGATGGCGAGCGCACAGTTGTGTTGGGTGACGGCGAAGGCGACGGGGCAGGCTCAGTCGGGGTGAGAGACGCCTGCGAAGAGGGCTTCCGCAGACGCTGGAAGCTTGGGGATTTAGATAGCAGGGATTTTGCCGACGCAGGCGATTCTGAGTTCGCGGACGGCGTCAAGGAGACCTTCGGGAGACGCTGCGACGAGCGTATTGGACGCAGTCGGAGGTTCTTCTGTACAGACTTGCGAAGCTTCTCGAGGGCGCGTAGGTCCTTTGACAACTCGTCCGCATCACCGTCGTCACCCAAATCCAGTTTGATATCATCATCTGCGCCGTCGTCCTTGTCCTCATCACCGTCCGAGTCCAGAGTCAAAATGGGCAGCGTTCTAGAGTGTCTATGGACGCCGTTCGAGTACGGCGGGCTGATCGTGTCGTCGTCGTCGAGCTCGGGGCCTATATACGCGATCAAAACTGACGGGCCTGTGCCAGATACCGAATGTTACGCACCGTCGGCGTCGAGGTCGACATCCTCGTCACTGTCCGAATCGAGGGAGATATTTGAAGATTCACTGGGCTCTTGGTGGAAAAGAGCAAGATTTGGGGGTTTCGTACGCTTCGTCGTCCTCTGCATCGCGCTCGAGGGAGAGCTGAGGATGCAATGTGAATTATGTGGACGTGATGGTCGTCAGTTTGTGATGGTGAGATATTTCTAATGATCGTGCGAACAGACTGCCACAAGTACATCGCCACGTGCATTTCCATATTCGGAATCCCGCCCTCCCGACCACCCGCTGAGTACAGGTCTACGAGTGGCCAGATTCCCTTCTCTTCCCCCGGTTTAACGACAACACAACGCTCCCGCCACCTGTCGCCAGTCCTCCTCCAGTTCTGGTGCTCCTTCCATACCCCGTCTGCATATTGAGCGGCGTTCTATAATCCTTCTTATCCGCATCCCACGTCGCGAACATCCTCGCATCAGGCAGCACAGCCGTCTTAGCCGCCTCTCTTCCTCCCCCATCACCTTTCTCATCATCATCAACGTCTTCCTTGTCCATGCCATTCTTATCTTTGTTCTTGTCCCCTTTGCCACCCTTTGCCTTGCCAGCATTCGCAGACGACGCCGAGTTCGCCCCGCCGTTCCAAGGTGCAGGCGAGCCGCTTCCATACGTGAGCTTCTGCGTGCCGCGCATGATAACCGGCGGATGAGATAATCGACTTGTTCTTGTCAAAATCGCTGGCTGTTCGATATCATTAGCAATTAATTTGCCATCATAATTAAAAGAACGGAACGATGAACGGCCGAAAAATATTGCGCAGTATCAGACAGAAAGTGCTCACCGGAAGTACCCTTCGCGCCAACTCGGGGATCCTTGACGACTGCTGACTGACCAGATGAGCGACCCTCTCGTTGGTAGACACTGCCCTCGGTTGCGCCCCAGGCAACTTCACATCCTTCTCTTTTTCTTTCCCGCTACCGCCGACCTCCATTTTACCTCTAGAGGAGGCGACGGGAAGAGGATGCGTTGGCGCGACAACGGCGCTGCGTGGTACACACGGCCCAACCCCTCCAAACAGCGTGTCCGCGAGCTCCCACCGTGGTGTGCACTGCATCTCAAACATCAGCGACATAGCTATTTTGTGGCGCAGGGGATTGCTGACGCCATTGGCAATGTTGGTGTGGCCGTTGGTATGCGGGTAGCCATATGCGTGCGATGAGTGTGACTGGGAGGAATGCGTGAGGATGTGGTGGTACGCTTTGATAAAAGCGGGCTCCGTCTGGGGCGTAGGCAATCTCGTTGATATTGGGGCTGTGGAAGGGGGAGGAGGCGGTTGGGGTAAGTGCCATTCAGGCACGGAGGATAATGTTGACTCTGAATATGGAACTTGCGAGAGATAGTCAGACGATGTAACCACTTGCGCAGCTGATACGGCGGCAGCCACCACCGGTGCCGTTGGGTTTGGTATGCTCGACTGGCCTTGGATCTCCATCTTCACCAAACCAATGTCCAACCCAGGTTGTGCCGGCTCCTGCGATAAGGAGGCGGGTGGCCCCTCCCCTGGTTCATGTAGTAGACCTCGGCTGCCACTTTCTCCAACTGCCTCTCCATCAGCCACTCGTACTACATCAGTCGACATCGTAGGAAACGGAGGCAGGAAATTGGGGACATGCTGCGGGGCCTGCCAACTAGCCGTGCGTGCGCGTTTCCGAGAAGGTGAACCGGGGTTGGATATCGGAGACAAAGGCAATGTGAGTGGTTGGTGGCCATGCGGTGAGGAGAAAGTCGTTTGTATCTGTGGCAATGAGTACGATGATGGCGATGTCGGTGAATGAAAATGGGGCGGACGCGCCGTTGATGTAGAGGGGGGAGGATGCTCGGCTTTGCGAACAAACGGCGCGCTAGTTTCGAGAACGTTGACGTCGGTATCCATCATCATTTCGTAATCATCGTCCTCGGCATCAGCGTCGGCTTCCGGTTCGTCGCCGGGTGGTCGTCCGTTAGTGATATCGTCAAGCGGTCTGTAGTGCAAGGGGAAGGCATCATCAGTATCCTGTTTGAGTCCGTCCGCCAGGTGTGCTAGAGACGAGGGACAATCAAAACCAAGACTAGAGAAGATCCAAAAGGCGCACCATTGAATTCACCCAACCATGCACCCTTAATCCCGTACCTCCCACTCATCTCACCGCCCTCCGAGACACACCAATCTCTCAGTTCGTCGACGCCTACTCCAAGTTCATCGAGTGCGCATACAGCGTCTCTGACACCAATGCTCCTCCCGCGGCCAGCATGCTCGGCGAACTTCCCGGCCGTGGAGGAGAGAAGCGTAAGATACCTTTCAAGGAGGTCGGTTAGGACGTAGGAAGCTTGACTAGAAGCGCGCGAGAAGTTCTGGGCATGGAGAGTGCGGAATGTGGCAGATTCTAGTATTTTGTGGGCACCGTGATCCATGGCTGGCGCGTTTTGTCGGATATGCGAATGGGAGGGACCTAGTGTCGACGCGAACGGTGAGTGAGGCAAGTCTAAACGCAGTAATATGTTCCCACAGAGACGCATCGGAGACACGTGATTAATCCAAAGTTCCTTCGAGGGCGACAACATAACATGATCCTGAATATTTGTAGCCGTTTTGATCGTAAAGATTAGTATCAGCACTCGCCTAACATCGGGCCCGGGCCATCAGGTAAACTATTAACCGATCATCATTGTCTACATTGTCTATCTCTTGTACCTTCGGTGGTACGTACGGTCATCGATTTCACTGGAGGAAGAAGTTTTAGGCTCAGTGGGTGATGTTTGAACCGCCTGGTCCGCTCGTACGACTCGTGCATCCTCCGTACTAGGTCCCGGCTTGCTGGGGGGAACGTCCTATCAACGCTTCCAGAAGCTCCTGTTGGACCTTCATCCCCGCACTGAGCTCGCGCTATCAGATCCCGTAGCGTCTCAGTGCAATGGCGGGCTTCCTCTCAGATTTATCCTCGCGTTGTCCTTTGCTGTTCTAGCGCAGAGGTTAGACACGTTGAGCGCGAACAAACACTGGTGACATACCCCAAACATGGCAGGCACCTGTTCCTTTCCTCTGCTCTGCTTGCTTGCTGATTGGGTTGTGTTCTCGCTGTCGAGCTCGGTAGGCCTATTGGGGTGACTGATCGCCCTCCGCCATCACCCATCAGCACTTCGTTCATCCCCTTTGCATGCCTCCTATTCGATATTCTTCCTTCCTTTGGCCTCACGCGCAGCACAACGACTATGTGGAGTGGCGAGCCGGCTCTCGCCGTCTGCGAAGAAGATGCGGACCTGTCTGTCGCCTTCACCTTGAAGGTCCGCCAATGTTGCAACAATCAACCAGTCTGTATTCATGTCGACAGTGAATGACTTCCGACACGCCTCCTTGGCAAACATGTACTGGTGTTTATGTGAGCAAAAGTAAAATCCGATGCGAGTGGCCAATTTGACTGACCATATCCGTGCGATGTCGTCTGAACCAGAGCATGGCTGCCCCGTTCCGGATGTACGCCAGAAGACGGGCTTCCAAGTGGGTAAACACTGCGGTCACCTCTACTTGACTGCTGCAAGGGTACCGCAATGGTCGGGTTTGATCCAAGAAGACGTCAGACTCACAGACACTGACCGCCCTGATGCAGCAGTTGAGCTCCATCATGTGTGCAAACCAAAAGGATCGACGAACGCTGCTTGTCCTAGCTTGGGCAGATACCAAGATACTAATGATCTTGCTGGACATCTCCATCATCAGCCTTCACCTTTGCGTCATGCTCCATTCTCAACTTCTCCTGGTCTCGCCCCGCCTCATTCGCGGTTCTTAAAGTGGTGAATTGATCCTTAGTCCTTGCGCTCTTTCTCGGTTCGGCAATCTCTTCTGGACCAGACAACGGTCGTCCTCTGCTCACTGCCATTGCCTGATCAATGTCCACCGGCATCACAGTCTTCTTTCCATCTACCTCTTCTGCTTGCTCCTTGGACTGTGCCTTTACTATTGAGGTTGGCAACCAGACTGAGAATGCTGATGGTCCTCCTACATCCACGTGTTGTCCCCCTCCCGGCGCGCCATCTGTGCTTTGTGGATTGACTTCACCTTTACACTCACCCGCCGCACCGCGAACCTCTTCTTTGCTTCTTGTGCAGCAGTACGAGCACTTGAGGTTGCGAGCCGATGTACGGTCGCCTGCCTAATCATAATGCAGGCACGAAGATCCATCCACTAGTGAATGAGAATGCCCGACATACGAGGCGTGACCCCAGGGCAGATGCAGGTGCGCCCATCGTTGCATCGGGCGTTCCCTGGACGCTCTTTTCCTGGTGGACTGGCTTGGGAGATCGGTGGTTATTGTCCAGTCCCTTTTCCTTGCCCTCCTGGGCCTTTTCCTCCTGTGCCTTTTCCTTTTCCTTGTCCGCCTTTCTTTGCGCCTTCTCAGCCTTCATTTCACCCATACCCCACCTAGTGTTATGGTCCGGTCTGTTCCGAATGCTATCTTTTTCAATATCTTATCTAAACGCGCAGGACGCGCCTATTACTAATTCACATTACGGTACCTTAGTAAGATCCTCACGCATAACACATGTCCGCAGTACATTACCAAGCACCCTCATGGAATCGGTGCGCGTTCCATGGAAAGACGGCTGCAGTAGGCATGTAGTAGTACATGAGGGTTACGCATGTATTTTAGTAGTTAAGCACCAATAACAGGCCCTAGAACGCTAGCTCGTTCTCTTGGGATTTCCACTAGTAATAGTGAGAACTAAGTCAACTACTACTTCATCTATTCTTTTGGTTTTAGTATTCTTGTAGGAGCCACGTTAGTCTTTGACTAGTGTCGCCCTAACAGAAGAACGAGCTACCCCTTCAACGTCCCTCCTACGCTCTACATTCTCATCCATCCTACTCTGCAGCGTCTAACTGCGAAGACCGACCTCTCGACCTCAAGACAGGATACGTTTCATCTTTCTCATTTTCTCTACCGCATAACTTCTTTCCAATTTCCGCCGATAAGCCCGTTAGGCTTTGATTGTTTGTTTCACACCCTTATAGTTTCCCACCCAATTCGAACCGCAGATTCGATACTCCAGCAGGGTAACGTTTAGACGACCCCCCGAGTGAATCTAAAGGTGCTGACTGATCACTAATCCTCGGAGAGGGGTCAGCGCGCGAGGTGCTGAGCAAGAAAGAAGGCTCTACCTCGTCGGTTCAGCAAGATGGTGTGAAGCTTCGCATCTAGCCAAGCCGAAGAATTCCTTCCTCATTTACGTTGTCCGCTCAGGTGCCGGCGTGCACTAGTTTGAAGTTCAACGTCAATTGACAGGGTACTTTACCAACAACCCCACCATGTCCCACTCCAGCGGATCGAGCTTCGAGAACATCGGAGACCAGAACATGCCCGGCCCTTCAGACCAACCCGCACCACCTCCACAACCATCGACACAAGAAATGATGATGATGATGATGGACCGGCTGGCTCAGATGGAAGCTCGGTACGAACAACTAGCCCAATACGTACGAACCCGTCCGCCACCAACAGCCCCAGCACCAGCTCCCGTTCCCGCTCCTGCCCCGATTCCCCAACCTGCCGAACCCGCACGACCAGTAGGCCCCAAGCTGGCCAAACCCGAGATATTCGACGGCGAGCCTGCCAAATGCCGTTCGTTCCTCAGAAGCATCCGGATGTACATTGCGGTCAATCAGTGGCAGTTTACCAACGAAAATACCAAAGTTCTATACACCCTCTCGTTCATCCAGGGACGAAAAGTCGACAACTGGAAAAACGAGGTTATCAACCAAGCGCTCAACTGGCGGGACCAGGGAGGGTACGACCCCGTGGTCTCTGACTTCCGAAGGTTCTCCGACGAACTGGAAAGAATGTTCGGAGACCCAAATCCCAGAGAAACAGCTATCTCCACCCTATCCGCCCTCAGGCAGGGCAACGAACCAGCTGAAGAGTACGTAATGAAGTTCGAAGCACTACGGGCGGATACCGGCTACAACGACGTAGCACTGGTGGAACTATTCAAACGAGGAATGAACCCCGGACTGCTGAACCGGCTTTACAGCCTCCACCCGCTCCCCGCAGACTACCAGGCATGGAGCGAAGAGGCAATCCGGTTTGACAGGCAGTGGCGCGAAGCGCAGTCCTATGCCAAGGGGCATGGACAGGGACGACAACAGGGACAGTCCCAGCAGAAGCAGCAAGGCCAAAAGCAAGGCCAATGGCAAGGGAGGGGACAAGGGCAGCAGCAGCCAGCCCCACAACAGAATCAACAATCACGTCCGAAGGACCCAAACGCGATGGACGTAGACAGAACGCAGAGAACCCCGGTCAAGTGCTTTAAGTGCGGAGGACTGGGACACATCGCCCGAAATTGTCAAAGGAGATTGGACATTAGGGCCATGAATTACGACGAGCAGTTGCAATACTGGCGGGAGGAGTTGACCCGTCAGGGTTTTTCCGAGGGAACTCAGGAAGCGTCGACCTGAGCTCCAAGAATTCTTTTTCCGTACTCACCCAAGAGCCGGACTCGTCACTAGTAGAATCCGATGTACCAGTAGCTATTTATAATGAGGATTCGACTACTAAAGCCAACGAGACGGAAACTAAGACGCAGAACAAAACCAAGGAAGTGTACTTGTACCGGACGGGCAATGAGAAAAATTATGTCCCCATAAAAATCACCATTACCTCCCTAGATACCCTGAAAACTCTCGACCCCAAAGCAATGTTGGACTGTGGGGCCTCAGATTCGTTCATCGATCGCGAATACGTCAGAAAGCACGGACTGAAAACCAAGAAACTGACTAGACCCGCAATCATAAGAAACGCAGACGGTACCCCCAACAACGCGGGAAGAGTAGAAGAAAAGGTAGAACTAAGAATGGGTTTCAAAGGACACGCGGAATGGGCCACGTTCTACGTAACCAACCTAGGAAACGTAGACGTCATCATAGGTCTCACCTGGCTCAGACGACACAACCCAGAAGTAAACTGGAAGACAGGAGATGTGGTAATGACCAGATGCCCAAGGGAGTGCAAGAGAAGGATGAACAAGGAGGCAGAAGACTTGCAGGACGAACCGTACCCAGGGGAAGTAGAAACTGAGGAAGACGAGGAAGAGGTGAAGGAAGTGCGGAAAATGGAACCGAGGAACATTTCAGTAGCAGGAGTAAGACAGTGGAATAGGCTGAGAAGCGGTTATTTACGGGACTTGGACGACTTAACCAACCAATATCACGAGTCGGTAGCCCGGATGTACATTAACCGAATGTGGAAAAAACATATGCAGGTGGAAACGGAAGACAAGGAGGAGGAAATGCATCTGAAAGCAGTAGGAAAATACGACTATGTCATTGAGCACGATCGGGAGAAAATAGAAAGCAAAAAGGAAAAAACCGAAGAAGAAATGGTACCGAACTACTACCATGATTTCATGAAAGTATTTCGAAAACGGGACTCAGAAAGGATGCCAGCGACGAGACCGTGGGACCACGCAATCGAACTCACACCAGACTTTGTACCAAAGGCCTCAAAGGTGTACCCACTGTCGCCAATCGAACAACAAGAACTTAACGACTTCCTCGATGGCAACCTAAGAAAGGGGTACATTAGACCCTCCAAATCCCCGCAAACCTCACCAGTATTCTTCGTGCAAAAAAAGGATGGAAAAAAACGATTGGTACAGGACTACCGATATCTAAACAAATACACCGTAAAAAACGCATATCCATTACCTCTCATTTCGCAACTAGTAGACAGAGTATCTAAGGCTCGCTTATTTACCAAAATGGTCCTCCGCTGGGGGTATAACAATGTACGAATAAAAGAAGGAGACCAGTGGAAGGCAGTGTTCCAAACGCCACGAGGGGCGTTTGAACCAATGGTCATGTACTTCGGACTTAGCAATTCCCCTTCCACGTTCCAAACCATGATGAACGAACTTTTCAAAGAACTGATTGACGAAGGCCTTGTAGTTATCTATTTAGACGATTTACTTATCTTTACGGACAATGATGTACAAAAACACCGAGAAGTAGTACGACGGGCTCTGAAGATTCTTGAGGACAACGATCTATATATAAAACCAGAAAAATGCGCATTCGAAGTAGACGAAGTCGAGTTTCTAGGAGTAGTAGTGAAGGACGGAAAGGTGCAGATGGAAGAGGCGAAAATAGAAGCAGTGAAAAACTGGCCGGTTCCGAAGAACGTGCAACAAGTGCAACAGTTCTTAGGATTCAGCAACTATTACCGACGATTCATAAAGGACTTCGCCACCGTCGCTAAACCGTTGCACGAGCTTACCAAAAAAGATGAGGAGTTTGTATGGAACGAAAGGAGACAAGAAGCTTTTGAAAAGCTTAAGAAGCTGTTTACCGAGGAACCAATCCTGGTACTACCGGATACAGACAAGGAAATGAAGATCGAAGCAGACTCGTCGAACTACGCATCAGGAGCGGTACTCTCAATGCTATGTGACGACAACAAGTGGAGACCATGCGCCTTCCTGTCTAAAGGGTTCACGGAAACAGAACGAAACTACGACATCCACGACAAAGAGATGCTGGCTATAATTCGGGCCCTGGAGGCATGGCGACATTACCTAGAGGGAAATAGTCGACAATTTACAATATGGACGGATCACAAAAACTTGGAATATTTCATGACCACCAAAAAACTCAACAGACGCCAGGCACGATGGGCACTGTATTTATCACGGTTCAACTTCTTATTAAAACACAAGCCAGGAGCGTCGAATATGAAAGCAGATGTCTTGTCGAGACGACCAGACCTTGATAGGGGGGAAGAGGACAACACGATGATTCTACTGAAACCAGAGTACTTTCGAATCAAAGCCATGCAACAAGGCCACGTCTTGATCGAAGGGCTGGAATCTACCATCTTGTCGAAAATCAGAAAATCGAAAAATTACGATGAGTCGGTGGTAAAGGCGGTAACGGAGCTGAAAAGATCCCCGACGAAGGTGCTGAGAGAGGCGGAGTGGTCAGAGGAGCAAGACCTGGTGCTATATCATGGGAAGGTATACGTACCCAAAGACACGGAGGTCCGAAGGGAGATCGTAAAACTGCATCATGATTCAACGGTGGCAGGCCACCCAGAAAGATGGAAGACGATTGAGCTGGTCTCACGAAACTACTGGTGGCCAGGAATGAACAGATTCATAGCAGAATACGTCAAAGGATGCGATCAGTGTCAACGAAGCAAAGCTTATTCACGACAACCGCAGGGAAAGCTTCAACCCAACCCCATCCCGTCAGAACCATGGACGGATATCTCAGCAGATTTCATCACCAAACTGCCAAGGTCACAGGGTTACGACGCAATCCTAGTAGTAGTGGATCGCTTCACCAAAATGGTCCGCCTAGTACCAACTACCGAAGAGCTGTCATCATTAGGCCTAGCTAAATTATATCGGGACCACGTCTGGAAGGACTTTGGCCTACCCACCACTATCATATCAGACCGAGGGCCCCAATTCGCGTCACAAATGATGCAGGAACTGAATAAATTATTGGGGATTCAGACACGACTATCCACAGCCTTCCACCCACAGACCGATGGACAAACAGAACGAGTAAACCGAGAAATCAAGACTTACTTACGAATGTTCATCAACCATAGACAAGACGACTGGGCGGAATGGCTGGCGATATGTGAATTCTCCCTAAACAATAAAACTCAAACGAGCTCCAGGCAGAGCCCTTTCTTCCTAAATTATGGACGCCATCCACGAATGGGGATTGAACCACGGAGAGAGTCAAAAGTGGAAGCCGCCGACGACTTTGCCAAACGGATGGCCCGGAGCTGGGAGGAGGCACGGTCAGCCCTGGTAAAAGCAGGGGAGGAGATGAAGAAATACGCAGACCGACGAGTAGGGGAGATGCCGGAGTACAAAGTAGGGGATAAAGCTTTCATCTTCACTGATAACTTAAACACGTCTCGACCTTCGCGAAAATTGGAACAAAAGAAAATCGGGCTGTACGAAGTGGTTGCGGTACCCACAAAAAACGCAATAACCCTTAAAATTCCAAAAACATTATCTATTCACCCCACGATCTCCACCCACCGAACGGAAAAGGCCAACATGCCAACGATACCAGGGCAAAAAACACCACCACCCCCACCGGTACGGATCCAGGGCGAGAATGAGTACGAGGTCGAAAATATTCTAGACAGCCGACTCAGACGAGGACGGCTAGAATATTTGGTCAAGTGGAGAGGGTATACCGATGAGCATAACACATGGGAACCCGAGAGGAACCTCGAGAACGCACCCGAGCAAACTCGGGCCTTCCACGCCCGACACTCTGCAGCTCCACGTCGAATTGCGGCCGCGGTATTTGAGGAACTGATCTGGAAACCGAAATACGTATTCACCACCCCGACCATCAGTAGAACGACCAAGATCGACGAACCCGAGGGGAGCGCTGATCCATCCGACACACCCGACAGCCACGAAGACAAGCATGGCAATCAGGCCGGCTTGCTCAGCAGGGGAGAAACGATCCCAAATGGGGAGCCGAGGAATGATGTCGTCAAAGGAGATGTGGGACATCAAGAGGTAGTGGTTTCGTCAAGTGGAATTGACGAATCCTAGAGGGGGGGTGATGTTATGGTCCGGTCTGTTCCGAATGCTATCTTTTTCAATATCTTATCTAAACGCGCAGGACGCGCCTATTACTAATTCACATTACGGTACCTTAGTAAGATCCTCACGCATAACACATGTCCGCAGTACATTACCAAGCACCCTCATGGAATCGGTGCGCGTTCCATGGAAAGACGGCTGCAGTAGGCATGTAGTAGTACATGAGGGTTACGCATGTATTTTAGTAGTTAAGCACCAATAACAGGCCCTAGAACGCTAGCTCGTTCTCTTGGGATTTCCACTAGTAATAGTGAGAACTAAGTCAACTACTACTTCATCTATTCTTTTGGTTTTAGTATTCTTGTAGGAGCCACGTTAGTCTTTGACTAGTGTCGCCCTAACACCTAGCCTTGCGCGCAGCGTGATGGCCGCTCGAAGTCGCAAGCAGAGCCCCGCCATTCTTAAAGAAGTCATTGATCTCACGGGATGTTTTGGATTCAAAGTCGCATAAAGTCCTGTAAATCAGCCAGGTGTCACCGTTCTTGTCCGACACCCCGGAGGTAAATGACTTGCGGCTTGCCTGGTGGGCAAACTTATACTACCAATGGTGTGGTGAGCAGAGATCGTTATGGCACCTGGTTTGTTGAACTGACCATTTCCTTGCGGTGATCAAACCACCATTCTGCAGCTGTCCCGCGCCTGATTAGAGGCAGGTCTGCAGGTTGCAGAGCACCATAAATGCTTCTTTTTGGCTATCTCATTTGTATACGATAGTCATTGTGTGAGCCGGGGGGGGGGGTTAACTACCGCTGGTCGTCGTCGTTGTCATAGATATATCATGGGGAAAAACTAACATACAGTCAACATGCGCCGCAACCTACGCAACCTGTAGGTTGCGGTACGACCCCGGGTAATAGTAATCTCGCCCATAGTTTACATCAACAATCCCGCAGAGCCTTCCGATACGTCTTGGAACCAAGACTTACACAGATGACACTGACTTCTCCGATCGTCTCGCCTGCGGGCATCTGATTCTGCCAACCTCCTGGCGGTCCTGTAATAGTCAAAGTTAGGCAGCACTTCAGAGGTCAATGCTATTCCATCCCTCAAATCTTCAACGCTGGTGTCGAATTGTCGCGTGCAGGGTGGTTCGCTGGCTGGGTCAAAGAACTTACTGTCAATGGCCGACGGAGACGAGGTAATCGGTCGCTCCTTCTCGTAAAGTTACACTTCCATTTTCTTATAAACTAGTAACTCGGATCATAGCGTGGTTCGGCTTCATGAAGGCGCTCAACCATCCTGGTCCCTGTACATGAACCCCCTATCTCCCTGATCTTATGCCTTCGAAAACGCGGTATGCACGACCGCTACGTCCGCAAGATTCCTCAGCCTGTCGGTCACGACTTTCACCTCAGCAGGACGACTGGAAGCACTTGCAATATGGGCCTACATACATGTAACCGGTCAATGCCTCCCGCCGGCAGTACGAGGTGATAAAACCCTTACCTTCGAACTGTCCCAGCCAACCAACAGAAAGAATAGCCCGCCTCGCTCTCTCGAACTTCCCCAACAGCAAGGCGGATGCGCTCCATCCGCTGCATCAATGGACTTCGCCAGATCACCCAAAGCAGCATCCAGATCCTGGGGATCGCCGCCCTCCTTCAGCGTAAAAGTAGCGATCTCCGTTGTAGGAGCAGACAGTGCCGTCTCGGAGTCGACCAAGAACGTAATATGATCCATCGATGCGTTCTCTTGCGGTATCCCAGGAGCAAGTAAGAGGCCAAACGCCTCCCCGACAAGTGGATACGAGGGGTCCCTCATTAGAGCGGCATGATGTTCGTATGTTTCCCAAACTATAGACTATCGTTGGCACAGTGTCACGAGTATCAATGGTGACGAACTAATAGCAACATGCCCTTTGGTCTTCTCCCCCTCTTCCTGCGCGCCATGATAAAACCTGTGTGCATTATCAACGATGTCAGTCGCATTAGGTCATCAATCAACAATCAAGAAAGATCGCGACCCATCCAAAGGCACTGATCTTTTTGATCTTGGGTCATACATACGTGATGCATCCATCCGTTTTCTTCAGAATGTCGACCAAAGGTTGAACACTGGAAGCGGGGTCTTTGATATAGGCCTCGGAGGTGTTGATTGTGAGAAACTCGACGATTGGCATGTTGTGTCAAGGACGAAGGCAAAGAAGATGGAGGAGATAGAGAGTATCGTTTCTTGCCGTTTCCACAACTTTAAAGCCCATGATCTAGATGGTAATCAGGCACAATGTTAGTAAGCCGCGTAGTATTTATACTTCCTTAATCTTGTTTTTAAAACTTCTATGCCAAACTTCCTACCAAGAACCAATGCTTGACGTTCACTTGATATTCGCTTCTGAGTACTCGCATGGACAATGGGCTACGGTGGGGCAATCCTTCCATATTGTGCAAACATCAGCATCAGCCGCATAATCCCCACTCCCACATATGGAGAAATTTGAACGTCGCGGCAACTGCCAGGATCGTAAGAGTTCGCTGGCATGGGCGCTGTTCAATGAGTCTCGAGGCGGCATCCACCACCCCTGGCCGGCGCCATCTCATTGTATAATCACAGAAGCCATTCGATCGATGCCACACCTAACGATAGCATCATAGTCTAAGACGATGTTAGTACAGGGAACGCAATAAATTAAGACGAGTACATCACCGTATACTGAGCAAGAGGGTGGGCAGAGCTGTAGATACAAGGGATACCCACTTACTACGCTATATCATCATTCATCGTCGAGGCGGTTGCGAGGCACTTGTCAAGGTCCGCCATAGCAGAGAGCCCGTCGTTAAAAGCCTTCCAACGGCTCACGTTCGAATATTACGATACCGCTATGGTCAACCGGAGCGCCGAGACGACTATCAGCGCTCGATGTCACGGTCACCGAGCCCACCGTCCACCGTGCAAGGACGAGTACCACTGCATCGTAACCGGCATAAGCAAACAGTCATCACCATCAAGCTACCCACTGCCTGGCCTGGTTGCTTGGTACTGGTAGGAATTCAAAGAGTCCGGATCGGAATTTTAGCTGCATCGGAGTATTAACTTTCTTGGAACTGGGCCACGTCTTGTCGCGCCTTCGATGCTTCCACTACACACTCACGACGATTCTAAAGCTTTCACTCGGCGATGGCTAGGGCGCCCACTGGCCAGATGGATCGTCCTAGGTCTGGTTCTCATCACAGGTCTCTGGCTTCTGGCGCCTGTAAATCTCGCATTCGTTTCACCACTTCAAGACGTGCCGAGCACCACCACATTGCGTCCCCCCATCTTGGATGAGTCTCTTCTATGGAATCAACGTGCTGCACATGTTCGGGAATCATATTTGCATGGATACAATGAGTACTTGAAGTACGCTTCGGGTCACGATGAGGTTCTCCCTTTGAGCAAGGGATGGAAGGACAAGTGCGTGGACGGTCGTAGAATTTGATGTAGCGTATTGATCTCATTGCTTACAGCTTTAATGGCTGGTGTGTACCTCAAACCTACTGACGATATATATACGCCGCTAAGAACCACGAAGGGGTGTCTCGATGATCGACTCAATGGATACCATGTGGATCATGGGCCTCCGAGACGAGTTCGACAACGCAGTTCGGGTCGCATCTCAACAGAACTTCACTACAGTTTCTGTCAGTCATTTTCCTTTCGCCCCTACTGAATCTACCATTAAATGGTCGTAGTCAACGTACGCGCCGTTCTTTGAAACGGTCATCCGCTACCTCGGGGGGCTGCTATCAGCCCACGCCCTTTCTGGAGAGGCGATACTTCTGGATCGCGCTAATGACCTTGGCAACCGTATGCTGCCCGTCTTCGACACGCCATCTGGTCTTCCTCGATTCAGTGTCAATACTGCGACGTAAGAGCAGATTTCTGCCTCGCTACATGATAACGAACTAACACGTCGCCGCGTTCACAGCGGTCAGACTGCTCTTGGCTGGACGGGCAACGCCGTGTTGTTTTCCGAAGCCACAAGCTGCCAGGTCGAATATAAGTACTTGGCTCATGTCACTGGGCGCTCCGAATATTATGATAAGGTAGCTCGTTCCCGGCCATCTGTCTCTCGTATCATCGGTTGACTTTCGGCGCCACAGGTCGAGAACATTATGGACAAAATGTACCACGCTAATGTCTCTGACGGATTATTTACTACGAGGTGGGATGCCGCAGATGCATCGCCTATGAATAGTTTGTTGTCCCCGATATTGTACTCGTTTTTGTCATTCTTACGGGTTTCCTTCTGTAGATCATTTCTCCGTCGGCGCGTCGGCAGACAGTGGATACGAGTACCTGCTCAAACAGTACCTCATCAGTGGGAAGACTGAACCCCGGGCCAAAGACCAATGTAACACTCCCTTTACCCTCCAACTTCTGCCCTCGCGACTCACACCCAGCACACAGATCTCGCGTCTACTAACGGTATCATCAATAAACTCCTTTATATCTCTCCACACCGCAAGCTGCTCTACGTGACTGACGTTGCATCAGGGCGACCTATCTACGATCTCCAGCACCTCTCCTGCTTCCTCCCAGGCCTCTTTGCACTCGGCGTGCACGCCCTCGACCTCTCTCCGCGGGACAAAGAGCTCCACACATGGGTCGCGCAAGGGCTGGCCTATACGTGCTGGCTCACATACGCAGACCAAGCGACCGGCCTCGGCCCGGACGGCGTGCAGTTTGACGAACAAAGCAGGCTGTGGGTCGATGCGTTGGCGGAGTGGGAGCGTGGAGGAAGGGAGGGAGGTGCACCGCCCGGCGTGAGCGAAGTCCCCGAAGAGCATGCTGCTGATAAGAGGGACTACAGGGTCTCGTCGAGCGTATACCTGCTGCGGCCCGAGGTACGTTGTTCGTTCGTGCGAATCGCATGCGGGATCCAGATAATGATCATTAACTTCGCGCGCTTTCGCAGACCGTAGAATCGCTGTTCCTCATGTGGAAGACCACCAGGGATGTACGCTGGAGAGAAAGGGGATGGGCTATTTACGAAGCCCTTGAGAAGCATACGCGCGTTGAGCATGGATACGCGATTATTCGTAATGTTGACCAAGTGCCAGCAGAAACAAGCGACGATATGCCAAGGTGCGCTAAACGTCTGCTTTCCTTCCCTTGCCCGAATTCACGTTCTCTTCGTAGCTTTTTCCTCGCAGAAACGTATGTTCAGAACTTCCCTGACGAAAAGTGCTGATTTTTCCCCCCTCAGGCTGAAATACCTATACCTCTTGTTCGCTGAAACGGACATTATACCTCTGGATAAATGGGTGTTCAACACCGAAGCCCACCCGCTCCCAATCTTTACCTGGAGTCCTACGGAGCAGGAACAACATAATGCAATGTCTTAGCCTATCCCTGTCACTCCTTACACCCATCAGCCGTTGTCCTCCCTCCTGTCATTTATATGCTCATTATAATTACTGAATTTATTTCCGAGTCAGTGATGCTATGTACGTCTCGGACGCTTCCAGCACCCATACATGCCCATGGGACTCAACCTCATGAATCATCTTCGTACGTCGTGTCTTCGCCGGGTTCTCAAGGTCAATGTCCGCGAATCCTAGCCCCTGTACTTGCTACCCAACTTCACTTGATCGTAGGTCAGCGTTCTAAGAGACCGCATGCGGCCTTCCTAGCCGCCTCTTCGGCCCAGTAGCCCTTCGCGGTTTCGCCGAGGACTCTCGTTTCAGTCGCGCAGGCTTCAAATCGTTCGTTCTCGGAAGACATTCCGATCTTGGACGCCTGCGAAAGGTGATCGACGCGACGAACTACTATTGATGAAACCAAGGCGGGGCGACATACTCTGCGGTTGGGCACTTTGCTAGATCTGGGAGTGCTCGAAATGTGAGTTTTTTATGCCCTGGATAGGCGGAGAACTGTAGATACTTTATGCACGTAAAATCCTAAAGGCCCGGAAATCTAGTATTCCAGCTCGCACTCGGTACTACTGAGTCGACTGAAGTGTCGAACTGCTCACCAGCTATGTACTAATTCACATACATGATCCGAATCATAGGCAATTTACTGCATGGGTAATTGGTTATACACACGCATTCGTAAGCCTTGAAGTGTGTGGAATGGTGAGAGTGGGGTGGAGGTAGAGTTACTCAGCTGTTCGTCTGTTTGCCTTCGAATTTCATTTGCTGCGAGTGTCAAGGAGGATGATCCGACAAGACCTACGTAGTAAACTGTCTCGATTAGAGTACTGAATGGCAACGTACTCCCACCATATCAGAATGGAAGTGTTGAGATGTAGAGGCATACCTTACTAACTACGTGTAGTGGAGATCTCTGCCATGGGATTAGATATGCTTGCTCCGGAGATCTGGCCGGTGATCACATCTTCCCGGATGTCTTGATACATCCAAGTCTCAGTGTGAACGCAAGTCTGATGGCTTGACCCTGTGATCAATGGCTATTGAAGGTCTTGCGAAACGACCATAAAGTATATATTCTGAAAGCCGTCTCAGCTATTACATGATGAGTTATCGAGGGTGATTAATGATGTCAGATCAATTAGATACCGAGAGAATGCCAGAGTCTTTGCTCGTGTGTCTAATAAGCGGTCAAGCAGATGATAAATCAAAAGGATGAAGGAAAAGAAGAAGGTCCAAGCATCCTTGCTCTCGAAGGGGAACTTAGTAGAGCCAACAGAAGCATGAGGAACGCCGCCGCAATGTAGTAGTACTCCCTGGGTGCGTATTTCACCGTCACTATGAGGGGGTATGACTTCCTCATGACCCACCCAAGGACAGACGGTCTCATCACTTCCACCGTCCGATGCTTCAAGATTTCTCTACCCTTCTTCCCGAAGTACCTCTCGCCGAAGTGGCTCCACTTGATGTTCGTGGTCACCCAATTTCCCATGTGCCAGCAGTAGTCCTTGACGAGCTTGTCATATTTTTCGGGGAATTGGGGAAGCTCGTTGAATTCCTTGACATATTTGTCGCGGATACCAGCGTAGATAGTCCCAACGTAGTCCATGGCTTCCTGCACGGACAAGCCTTTCTCGCGCATGGCTACGGCGACAAGGTTGTGTCTGTCCTCCCCGCGGCACTGTTCGACGTTCCACGAATATACGTCCTGCGCAAGAAAGTCAAGGCGATATTAGAGCGGACATAATCTCAGGCTTACATTCGCCAATATTGTCATATCCACCGCCCCCAGAGCTAGGCTTGCAACGGCGGGATGGTCGATATACTCGTCAGGGATGTCGTCCTCAAGGAGAAAATAATCGAAGGATGGGTAAACGCCGATGGTTCCACGGCGAAGTTCCATATATTCTTCAATCGATCGCTCGCGGCCTTCGTCGCGGTCAACAGCCTCTTGCCTAACCGCGTCGGTGTATCCATCGAAGTTGCGGATGAAGCGTTCGGCAGACGACTTGCTTGAGACCTCGAGAGTCCGCTTCCAGTAACTGCAAAAGATAGAAGATGAGAATGGTAGTGGATGACCACAACGTATAATCATACTCTCTGGTCATGGCTCCAAGTATACTGTCACCACCCGCTGGGATTTTGTCAGGGTATCTGAGTACACCGTCAGTCACCGTCACTATAGTCATGAATGCGATGTAGCTTACCTGAGGGCGTTCATAATATCAGCAGCCTGTTGACGCACGACGTCTCCGTTTTCTGCATCACTAAATTCGTCGAAGACAAAGAACAAATTCATCAAATCGCAGGCGGCTCGATAATGTGTTCCTTCTGATCTGGGGTACGCCAGCGACGCGAAGATGCCGAAGTTACAGCGGTTGAAGGCGTCTTGGGCTTTTGGGCTGAAGGCCTTGTAGGATTCCACCCAGCGTGCGCTATCATCGACAATTTCTTGGTGGGGATTAGGCTCGGTCTCAAAAGGCCATTGGTCAAGAAGGTCTGGAAGGATGAAATGCGAAGGAAGGGGGTGTTTCGTAGTCGAGGTCATGACTCTGGAACTTGCTGAGGTGGCGAGAAAGCGACATATAGGCAGGCTGTTATATATCTGCTTGCGAAGTGCGAGACCACTATGGGCACTACGCGTAAATTCGCCAGAGCCATGGTTGAAAAACTTGACCGGAGATGTTTATCTGGCATTAGACGGAAGTGAACAACGAGGAACGCGCAAATACGCGGCGCCTGAGTATGCAACGAAATGTCAGCAAAACCGCAAAATGATTCTGAAGAACGTACCGAGAAAGAAATATAGCGATTTCAACGCAGGGAAACTATAGCTAGTGAATCAAGCTACTATACGTGTCCCGATGCACTTAGCATCTTGGCGAGCAGTACTGACTGCTGCAATAACCTGAGCGCCGTAGGAGGACAGTCTTTCAGACGGAAGTCCTATTTCCTCGGTCCATATTTGGACGGAGTTTCAAGTACGTCCCGCGTCTGAGATCACGCCAAAGTGATAGTGGTCTGCACTGGGATTTGGCAGGCCCGAAAGGTCGCCGCTGGCGGGTTGCTGGCTTCGCTTGGGTGGTTATACTATAGTGAAAGAGTCAGAGGATACGGAGTACTTTGGCGCCAGTGCAAACGATAAGAGCCTTTGCAACGCACCGTACCGCGTCCATGTTCTAGTTACTAAGTTAGCTACTGTGTATGTAGATCGTGTGATTAGCATTGAACAAGCTGATGGAAGTGATAGACATCAATTACTACCCGGTTTTTCCCACAAGTTTGTGCTCATAGAGAGGCTGGCGCTTATCGCCGGTGGCGCTATGCTAGGCTCCAGCTTGGATTGTTCGAGGTGCAAGAATATAGGCGAGTATCTTATTTGTATATTGGTGATCATCCATACTTTCCTAGAGATGGTGATCACTCTTCAACCTATCTCCGCACTAGCCCCCTCAGACACTGAGCTTCGACTGCCATCAACCCTTGCTGATGTAGGTCCTACCGTATGTTTTGTAAATTGCAGCTGATCCAATTTCGCAGCGAATAGTTCCCAATCGTTGAGTCTTAGACCGCGAACAGTTATACGCCGGCCAAGCATGCTTCGCAATACTACCGATACCCACTTAAAAGCACCAAAATTTACGTTCTCCTTCTGCCAGGCACCTGGACAACATGACGTTCTCATTCCCTCAGGGCATCGCGAATCATGATCATCCTTTCATCGGAGTTATTCAAATTTCCCTTCCCCTTCACAGGACACTCACTCTTCACGAAATTCCACGAGTTACGTAAATCGACAAACGAGTAAGCTGCTAGGAACGCACTTTCCGAAGACTTGGGTTCGAGCCGACGACAGCAGCAAGTCTATATACTGTACTACAAGTCGGTTCGTGAGTGCAAGATGTCTAAAATCATCCTGGGCCATCCCTCGGAATCCAGGCCATAGAATGCGTATAAAATATTCGCGGTAGCAAGAGGTAGAGTGGAAGTTGTTCGGATGACGTCTCACTTGTGTAGACTCAATGCATTGTTTCACCCAACTCGCGTCTACTTTGCGGTTATAATGACCGGCCCATTGCATGTTGCAGCATTGCCATCTACTAGACGAGGTACATGTCCGTCTGTAGAATATATGCGTCTGCTAACTATTACATTTGTGGATGATGTCTTAGCTTTTTGGCCCAAGAACTCGACGTCCGCGTTGCTACAGCAGCCGACCAAGTCACCTTCTCTCATCACACCCCAGATCAAGAGCGGATAGTCACGGGCGTCATCCTCATTGCCCAAGGTTGAGCCCTTGAATTAACGACGTACGCTTTGCCCGGTATACAACAATACGATGTCGAACATGACTGATGAACTCTTTCCTCAAAGTTACCTCGACATCGATAGGAACCGCACGGCGGCGACCCGCGCTAGGTATAAGATTTGGTTTGGCGAGCATACCCTGGCACGTTTCGGTGAGGTGATTCGCCGCCTGGCTGCGATTAGAACGGTATTATGGCCATTGGGGGTACTAATGCACCCCAGACCGCGGTTTGCTGTCACCGCTGACACACGCAGTCGTCAAACCCAAGCAATCAAGCTCGCATCGTTACGTTGACCACTCGTAGAACTTAGGCGCTGCTGTCCCCGCGTTAATTCGTGTCACGCGTTCTGGACAACAACGAAAGTGGTGATGCCCCCCACGCTCTCGTTGATTGACTGATCATATCTTTTAGTCGGCAACTCTGAACAACGAAGCGAACCATTTCTCGCCTTGAGGCACCCAAACAGGAACCAATCTGTTCACATGGGGTCCTACGGTGCCCACCTCGCTCATGTCCTTGCACATAGCTCACCCGTTCCTGAGCGCGGAGAACTATTCTCGACTCGCATGAATGCAAGCAAAAATATAAAATATCCGGGCTGTCTTCAACGTGGCAGATGAATCTGTCGATTCCTTTCATCATCTAGCCTTTGATAAAATTGCTCTGGGCCCCAGGCGGTGTAGGTTATTATACCTCTCATCGATACAAACGATTTCGCACACGTCATACAGACATAGGTGCCTCTTGAGTCGTCCCATAACTTGTCCCATCAGCGATATGGGTCTTCTCTTACGGTACCGAATTGGAGAGAAGTTTACCACACCTCTCTAACTCCAACCATCGGGCCTGGGTAGTCGCCGTTGGGGCAAACACTGTCAAGATGACCATCTGCAGAGTCTTTCACGACTACTTCCTAGCTCGTAAACGTAAACGAGTGTCACCTTGAAGGACGACAGCGAGGTATTCAAGATTGCAGGACTCACGGCGTCGTTCTGCGCGATGTAAGCGTAGGAAACATAGCAATTTAAGTCGGAGCACACGGTGTTCACGGTAGAACATTATCTATTTTTGCCATCAAGGTATCAGCTCCAAATCCAGTGTGCGGCCCTCAGAGACCCCCGATGCTGTTCAATGCTACGATAGTCCTCCAGGCTCTATTCGGCACCGTTCTTTGGCTCCAGGGTAAAGTGGGATTGCAGAGACCTTTTCATGGTATGCATTTCGCATGGATGTTCACCAAGCCCGAGGGCACGTTCGACGGGCTTCTTGGGTGAAGAAACAGTATTCCCAACCCAGCTCTCCAACGTACTTAAGGTGGGCTTCAAGCACAATTTCACTAACACTCAACTCCCTCGCCCCTCAACATGTCTGACAAAGAGATCGTCGACGCTGTTCGTCGTCTGCAGGAGCTCCAGGCTGGTGACTCCACTGACAACTCAGAGACTCCACGAGAGTACATCAACCAGCTGACTCCACCTATTGGCACCTCGTTCTTCAAACGGTGAGCGCACTATTTGCGGGCCAGCGCACATATCTGACGGTCGTTACTTTTGGGACAACATAGGCAAAGTGTTACTCTATTCGATGATGAAAGGTTCTACGCCAAGTTTATCAGCATTCCAGAGAGTGATCTCCAAGTTTTGGTGCAAACATTGACCTGGAAAGTGGACATCTACACCTATGTCACAGGTGCCACGCCGGATCAGGAGCAGTTCGAAGCCAATGGGGGGTCAGTTATGGTCGTCATGGTTCATTCTGGACACCTGTCGTTCGATTCCAGGAGGGGCCGCTCTATCTATCGAGTGACCGCCCCTACGTCTGTGGTCTCGCAGAAGCAGCTGCCTCCCACAGGGAGTGGGATCAAAAACGAAGATTATTGGAATTGTAAGTTTCTTAGAATTTTGCGCGATCATGCTGTCCATACGTCCTCGAGACACCATCTCGTACCAGGAAGTCATGAATATGTTCAATAATGGGGGCAATGGTACTCTGAACTTCGATGCCAAGTACAAAGAAGACTTCTCACGCAAGGATCCACTGGCCGGGGTGGTGCTGTCGAATGGTGTACAGTTTGGAACCGAGTTTGAATTGGTAAGGTTATGGCTAGTATTCGCTTGACGTAGTCTCATACAGGGAGCCTCGCACAGAACAACACAGATCTCCCTGCATTCAATCTTGCTGGAGTCTCCATTTTCCGGTCATACGCGCCAGATGCCTTCCCGGTGAATTTCTGTGAGTCATGGCCTTGTATGAGTGAGGCACGTTCTAACCTCCAATATCTAACACCTCAAAGCTTTTGAAGCGGATTCAGCTTGGAGTTTCATTGATAATTTAGGGGTAAGTTGGCCTCATCTCGGCATATCATATCCGTTAATCCCTTCTAGCTCGCATCCAACAAAAAGGTCCAAGTGGAGGTGGATATCAACCGTGGGGTTTGATGTTAGTTAGCGAACCATGCGCTTCAATATAACGTCGGTCTCTTCATGTACAAAGATTTTCAGAACAAGGAAGATAGGGCAAGCTAACCAAATTTTGGTACAACACCCACAATTCCGCGTCCTCATCTTCAGCTTGCGCACTCCTTTCGCGTGAGTCAGAAATATCATCAATGAGCAGTAAGCGTACACGATTTGCATGAGTTCAGTGCAACTGAGGGAGTGAAACAGGAGGAAGAGAACGGGTCGCCAAGAACTGGGAGCTAAGCATGAGGCGAGACAAGGCAAGCAAACACAAGACAAACAGATATGAGACGAGACGAGAAAAACAATGAAAAGCAGTATGGCGACAAGGAAGTTATACACCGGAGCGCATAGGTAGAGTACGAACGGGGTTTACTGTTGCCAATATCCCTGTTGCCTGGGTTGATACGAGTAGAAACTACCGTCAGAGGCGCCTTGGGGGTAGCCGAGATGAGTCTGCGGGCCCTGCCCCTGAGGTTGATGTAGGTGATGAGCAGCCTGTCCTTGAGGGCCCCCGACGCCGCCACCTACGCCAGCGGCGTTACCGCCGTAACGATTAACGTTGTAGAACCCGCTTTGACCCTGCTGAGGTTGTCCTTGCCCTTGACTCTGGCCGGCTTGGTTGGGCTGCTGCCCTTGGACACTAGCGCGACCGGCCTGCATACCCTGTCCAACACCCATGCCAGTCCCTACACCGTTATTGACATCCTTGGGCGCGTATGGCTTGTAGGCGGCTTCGGGTGAGCCACCGGTGGTGTTGCGGACGCCTGCGGAGGGCCCTGTCGACTGCCCAAGACCCATGAAGTTGCCCTGGCCTCCGTATAACGGCTTATTGTAGTCATTCGCAGGTAGTCCGCCGCCCAAGCTATGCGGTTGGTGTTGCTGAGTGTGGTGTTGGTAGCCCATATCGTCGTACGAAGCTGAGGGATGCTGCTGGTGTTGCGTGTATAGACCCTGGCCATATGGGTTGCTCTGAGGTTGAACGCTGCCAGGTTGCTTCGTCGCTGGCGAGGGGGCAGATGCGGGAGCGGGGGCAGATGCGAACATCGCGGGGTACTTGACGTAGTTTGGAACGCCGTAGCCAGAATTGTACGGGGAGCTGTAGTACTGATTTTGGGGGTACGGTTGGTAGTAGTAGGGAAGAGGCGGAGGGTAGCCTTGTTGTGGAGCCTGGCCTGCAGCAGCCGGGGGCTGAGCGGTTTGCGATGATGCAGCATGTTGCGCGCTCTGCGAAGCAGAAGCGGACAATCCAACAGTGGCAGCTGGTTGCTGTTGACCACCCGGAAGAGCCTTCATGTCGTCGTGGCCCAAAGGATTGCGGGACGCAAACCCAGATTGTTGAGCGTAAGAATCATAGAATCCCTAAACGTACAGCCATTTAGCATCATCGAGGTACTAGCAAAAAAGGGACTTCGCACTCTCGGGCTCTCGCCGTAACCATATTCGGCTCCAAATGCTCCAACGTGGGAGGCTTGGGCTGAGTGTTGCATCTGCTGTCCCAGCTGTTGACCAAACGCACCATACGGACTATCCTGTGCTTGAGGGGCAGGAGGCGTAGGGGTGTGGAAGAACGGGTCGGCATTGCCTCTGAAGTATGTGTTATGACTCGCCGCCGCCGCCGCGGCGTTGGCAGCGCCTTGAGGCTGCTGGTGCTGGGATTGAGGCAGTTGCTGTTGTACTTGATTTGGCTGAGGATCCGCGTGAGCTGAGAACCCATGCTGCGAGTATTGATGCTGCTGCTGAGCATTGGCTTGCTGTTGGATCTGTTGAGGAAGCGCGTGTTGCTGTTGCTGTTGGAGATGGTGGGTTATCGAGGACTGAGGGATTGATTGTGCGGGGTATTGTTGAGCGGGCGATGCTACGGCCGAAGGCGCGGATGGATGTGAAGCGGCAGCCGAAGTCGACGATATAATCGGTTGAGAAACGGAGGTAGCGAGCGACTGGGAGGAAGGCATCTGTGGTGGGGTTTGCCTTTGCGTCAGAGTCTGCTGGAACAGAGCTGATGAGGATATCGACGTGGGAGTTGGGGCGGACGGTGCTGGCGGTGCTGGTGTGGGTTGCACAGGTGGTTCGGGTGCCTGAGCAACGGGGGCAGGGGCAGGTGTTGGGATTGGTTCGGGTTCGGGAGCTGGTGCGGATACTTCAGAAACGCGGGCAGGTTCAGGTGCCTGGGTTTCACTGCTATATAATCATATCGTTAGCGAGAGGACAGTCGATACACTTTGTGCGACTTACGCCGGTGCTTCCGAGGCATCTCCTCCCAAGCTGAGGCTGCCAAACTGCATGCCTACCTTTTCAACGCCGCCTGAGAAGGTACTAGGCATGACGACTGCAGGCTGATCCCCGATCTTGAACTTCGCATTGGCGCGGTGGGCAGCCGAAGATGGTCGAGCCTGGGATGGTCTGGGTGACGGGGTAGCAACAGCGGGAGGCGCCGAAACATTGCTAGATTGCAGATCCTTCAATTGTTGCTGGAGAATTTGAGCAGGGAGGGCGGAAGGTGTTGGTTGGGGGGCTTGCGGCTTCGGCGCCTGTGGTTCTGGCTTGGGTTCTGCTACTTGGACCGGTTCCTGCGGCGCGTCTGGCTCGGGTTCCTGTGCAGGTTCTGCGGACGTGGATTCCGATTGTGGCTCATCGTTGGCCGACATATTCCACTCCTCGGAAGCTGGCTCGGGAGCTGGTGGTATCGATGGCGGCTCATCGTCCCATGTTGGCGGTTGTACTGTTGTTGGTTCTTCCCAGACCGGCGGGGGTAGTGACTCTGCTTCCGACTCTGGAGCTAGCGCAGGCTGCGGTGGCACTGGCGCAGGCGCCGATATTGGAGCAGGGGCTGCAAGAGGTACAGGCGGCGGGGCAGGCTTCTCTTGTGATCTGGAAGGGTACAACTCGTCAACGCTACATTGTATCAATTCACAAATTGACGCACCGTGCTATTTGCGCCCACGACATCTTCGACGTCGCGGGTGTTTTGGTAGGTTTTGGGAGAACATGCGACGAAGCTGCAGCACTGTTTACGTGTACGGTCGGATCCGGTGCTTCTTGTTTCGCGCTCCATGTAGAAGATGAAGCTCCGTTTACGCTGGGGGCTTCAGCTCCAGATGCCCGGCCATTTGCAGGTTCAGCGACCTGCGCATCGAGGGCTCCTTTGTCCTTCGCGTCGCCGTCCGGCTGCACCTCTGAAGCTGATGAGGCGGCAGGTTGATGAGGGGCCGGAGAGCTGATTCTTGGAGTACTGGAGCGCCCAGCATGACCGTTGGGAGCACCACGAGGAGGTCCACCACGTCCCCTTGTCGCCGGGCTGCCTCTGCCTGAAAGACCGCCTCTTCCTCCACCACGACCGCCTCTGCCTCCTCGAGGCAAAGAGAATCCGGCATCTTTGGGTTGGCCAGATACCGAAACCTTCTTTTCCTTTTTGCGAGTAACGGAACCCCACTGCTCGGCGTGACCTTGCGCAATTGAAAAGGATAGCACAGAACGTCGATGACAAGCGGAAGGCTGGCAGAAGGCTGGAACTCACCCTCACTAATCCGCGTTGCAGCAAGTTCTACATCCCCGGCGACTTCAGCGAGTAGTGAGAGTAGGTCTTTATGTCCCCAATATGTCCCCAAAGCGATGTCACGAGCGCGAAGTTACAAAGGCACCAGAGAAATTTGGATTTTCAGTGAGCAAAATGGCTTTCTAGGGCAAGAGAAAGGGTGGACCCACCCTCGTTCGACCAAGCCGGGAACAATTCCTGAAGTTGTTTCGCTTGGGCGCGGTACTTGGAGTTCTCCAGTTGTGGTTGGTCTGGAGGCTGTTGCTGGCTACGAATGGTTGGTTTGTATGACATTTCTGGCGGAGGTTCGCTTTGCAACCTTTCTGGAAATTGGAGGAGGAGGACGATATTGTGGTGGTGGTGGTCGTAGTGGTGAAGATGAGCAGTCTAGCCAATGGCGCGTGCGGTCAAGCCAACGAAAAAAGAATTGGCGGAGCTTCAATACTTTACCTTTTCTAGAGGTTACATTCCACTTTTCCACGATTTCTTTTATGAGGGAATAATAACTTAAGGTTACTTCAAATGCGCCCACGGGACAACACAATGGAGCGAATTCGCATTTCCCTAGCTATCACTCCAGAACTGGTAGAAAGCACGCAGAAGGGGCTTAGAGATTGAAGACATTAAACCTTCTAGGTTTGGGCTTTCAAATTTCAACGTTCAACGGTGCGTTACATCTCTCAACTGTGGGGTAGTCTATGTTAGTCTACGTCGATCTCGGCGGATGCGATGCTGCCCGGGGTGACGAAGGGTGAATTGAGCAACAGCTAGAATAACTCTAATATGTACAGTGCGATCACATACTACTAGCGTTGAGACATATTGATCGTTGCTCCGTCAAAAGCTATGATTAATATCTATCTCTACCTCTACCTTCTCATTCTCGGGGAACTAACACATGTGAGTAAGCAAGAGTCAAACGGGGCGTGTGGACAAGGTATCCTCACCTCTAAAGAGTCAGCTCTTCAAGAGCTAAGCATGCTAGAACTCAGCAATAGCCCGTAAATATGCAACCCCGACTCACAGAACTTTGCCGGGAAGGCATCCACGGTGTTACATGTTAGCACGGAAGATAGAGACACCCGCAAGTTGTAGCTGGGTAGATCTCCGTCGTTCTATGCATAGAAGATACTGATTGAGTTCCAGGCGAGGTATGTATCCATCTCATATTCTTACCGTCTCTACTTCCGTGCCAAACTCTACACCACCTGGCGGTGTAATCCAGTCAGGGAGTCTTTGCGCGAGAAATCTTCTTTTATTTTGTGTCAAAGCTGAGGGCACCGTTGCCTCCGTTGTTGAACAGGTTCATGGCCTCCTGGTATGCCAGTGTCTGCGACACAATGTGAATAGATCGTAGGGGCACATACTAGGAGGGGCCGCTCACAATTCCAATAGTTCTCATTCTTGATGTCACTACCGGAGGGAGGTAGCTGCTTCCGTGCCGCCACCGAAGTAGGGGGGTTGACTCGATACATAGATCGACTATGCCTGCTATCGAACAATAAATGGCCAGAGTGGACGATGACGACCATCACAGAGCCTCCATTGGCTTCAAACTGCGGCTGATCTGGCCTAGCACCTGCAACCTAGTGTATACATCAAATTTCCAGGTCAGCCTCTGCACCAAAGCCTCTATGGTGGCGATCGCAGAGAGAATCTGGGCACGGAATTTCTCGTTGTTGAAGAGGGTAACAGTTCCCCTGCGTTCCGAAGTCCCGTTTGTCAGAGTCGTGGACCCATATGTAGAGCGTCGATGATCCTCGGCTTCGGACATGTTGGAATGGGAGGCAGTTGTGTGTTGATGAGGCAGTCGTCAGCCGGGCGTTGCCGTAAGTACGTTTGGGACCTGGTACGGCAATACTAATCTACCCTAAGAAGCTCATCGACCTGTGGCGACCGAGTCGTGCAGCGCGGGTCTGGCGAACCTCCATGCGAAGTGCGCACCGAGCAAAGGGAAGTCGACCTCCTGCATGTCGGTCAACGGTGGCGAGTGCAGGAAAAACAAACGGTGTCGTTGATCAGCATCGGTGGTCCTTGAGTACCGTGAGCTGGTTTTAGCAACGACGTCCTGGCGGCAACAATAGACTGCCTTCGATCTCGAGTGCCTGCATTCTGATCGGCGCAAGCCTTGGCGCCTGCCCGGCTAAAATATTACGAGGGCCGTGTTCATCCCGCATCTGTAGTTTTAACGTGCATCAACGGGCTCCTGATAGGCTCGCGGCGGCTGAGGCGCCCCAGCAGAACGTGTGCTGTATCTAAGCCAAAGCGGGGTGATCAGATGGTCTTCACGCGCGAGCTGAATGGCAAGTACGTGCACTGCGTTTCTCGGGGGTTCACCCGAGGCATGTAGTGTCATGCTTAGCCACGGAGGCGGTGTTGGGGCGCGTATCCTCAGGCCGACGACTTCCGGCTTCGTGCCCAATAAGTGCACATAGCAGAGTGTGGCGGTCAGTACTCAGTAGGCTACACTTCCCGTATGCCAAGCCAGCAGTGCCCGTGCGGCTGCAAGAAAACCACTCCCGTCGTACCCGTGGGATGCAGCAGGCTCAAAGACCTCACCGATATCTTCGAGGCCCGCTAGTGAGCGACCTTCTTGTGATATGATCGTACCTGGTTATACCCCATTGAACGAATAGTCGCCACAAAAATAGCTCGCCCATTGTTAGCACCGCAAACCGCTGCAATGCAAACTTTGAAGCGCCAATGGAAGGCGTAAGCACGTCTGGCATCTTCATGCCCGTGCCGTCAACCAAATGCCGTGGATTGGAAATGGCGCTGATAGCACTGTCCTTCGAGGAAGCGGTGAAGGAATGGAGCACAAGGGCATAAGAATGTGGACGCACGAGTCATGCATACAAACTAAACATGTAGCCGAGTGCCTGGTGTTGACCGCGGCATTGGATTCTACAAGGCTTCTGCCGAGTGCTCGGAATACCAGCATCGCGGAACTTCTTATGAACCACAGGTATCCCAGGGCCACAACGAATCTACAACCTGAATCAGTCGCAATCGCATTCTTCGGTTGTACGCATCCGGAGCCGTCCAATGACCACATGTTATTTCCTTGCGTACATGTCAGACAGTAGAGCAAGAGGGAATACTAGCCGCTTCGAGCCGTCACAGGATTGCACAGCTCCCGGGTGCCTCACATCCAACTCTATACCTCGCGAAGAAGGCGTAGTTCTCCGCGTTTACAATAGCTCGATCGGGGGATGTATGCGCCAGAACGCGTGCGAGCCGCGCGCCGTAGAACTCCCATGTATACGCATTCGTCCCAACCTCGCCCCACGCCGGGCTGAAGTGGCTCGCCTCGTGGATCAGTGTCGCCGCCTTCCGAGTCACCAAGCCACAATCAGCCCCACATCAAGTGAAAATAACAACAAAATTACCCTTTCGTCGGCGTCATACTTCCAGAAGAGCGGGCATAGATTGACGGTGGACGGGCTGTCGGGGAGCGTATATCAGGCGGGAACAAGGTGATTAGACGTGACTTACGTCGCGCGAAGGACGAACGCGTGCGTCAGTGCCGACATCAGCCCGCAGTCCGGGGTGCATTCGTACGTCCAGTGGTCAAAATGAGCCGTCCGGAGTGCAGCCGCACGGATCATCACATTTTTGAACCGCGCTGGCGTGTACTCGCCAAACCATATCTTGTACCTAGCGTCGGTGGCTACCGTGCCATTCCCATCGATGTTGTTGAGGTACCTGTTTTCTGTTAAGCGAGGCTTGGGTTACTCGATGTTGCATGAAACGAACGTCACCGCCTCGAGGGCCCAGCGTTGAGCAATTGGAATGGCGTCGCTGATGGTCCGCTCCTGGGCCGGAGTGCAATGCGAGAATGTTATCTGGTCTGTAGCCGTGGCAGCGTCGACAACAAACTCTTGAGCAGCGGTCAGGGGATCACCTAGAAACAGGCGGTCAGCAGGTGAGTATAATAGTGACCACAAAATAATACCACTACTCTTGGTCGATGGCAGCGCCACCGTGAATGGCGAAGCAGTTAGCATAGCCGCAACGCAGAAGAGTGCGAGTTGAGTGAAGCCAGCCATGGAGTGTGAGTAAGGATTTCGACAACTTGCTGCTCGCCTCTTCCTATCGTCCACATTTTATATGCATTTATGCGCCCGGATTCGAAGCGAAATCGGCATAGGATGATCCTGGACGGTTTGCACGGATTGTGGGCCTTGCATATAACAAGTCAGTAACGGCCAGTCGTGGAGTTTGCAAGCTTCTTCGAAAAAACTGACCGACGGGGAGTTGATGCCGTCAGCGTGAATGGAAACGGATGGGTATCAGAGCGCCAGCTACTAGCCCAGTCAACACTCAGTACTCAGTGCTAGTCCGTTCCAACCATAGGGCCGCTCTTGGGAGGTATGTGGTAGTAGGATGCCTCGATAGTGCGGAGACTCGCTGTACCAAGTCCAGAAGTTTGGTTCCGACGTTGTGTCAACAAAGCAGAACTGATTCACGATTTTGCAAAGCCTCGGAGAGTCATGTCGTGGCGAAGTCGAATGCTTTCAACCATTCCAAGCAAGGTATGGCCACAAATTTTAGTCGAGGCGTCAACGAGGACTGGCAGTTGACCTAGTCGAGAAGTAAACTTGGGACCGACGATTGTTGGTCAGCGAGTATTCGTGATCGTGAGATATCTCGTCAACACCGGTCAGGGGGTGGGGGATTAGGGACGTCCACCGTACATGTCGTTAACGCCATCGAGAAACAGGACACCGGTGAGGCTGTTCAAGCAGAATATACGGTGAACGCCTGTAGCCTCACTGGCCAGCTGGCACACTTCTCCGTTCCACTCGGTGCGCCTTCGCACTGACGGGATGATTGCGGGATGAACTCCCCGTCGGTCGGCTTCTCTTCCGAGTCTTGCCAACTCCACGACTGGCCGTTCTCGACTTGTTATGGCCAAGTTGTTCGATGAGTGCGAGCTGTCGAAAACTATCCCATCCTAATCTTGTCTGAAGTCCAAGCGCACAAACACGGCACTCGTATAAAATGTGGACAGTGTATTGAGGTAAGCAGCAAGTTGTTCAAGTTGTAAACCTTGTTCACTCTCGTACACTCGCTCAATGGCTAGCTTCACCCAACTCGCTCTCTTCTGCATCGCGGCTGCGTTGACCGCCTCGTCACTCGTAGCCGCGTTGCCTTCGACCAAGAGTGGTACTACCGTTACATTTTTGCCTCGATGACTTACTAATCATCGCGTCCTCAGGTGGACTCCTGGCATCTGCCCAGGAACTTAATGTCGACGTTACCGCCGCGGCTGACCAAATCACTTTCTCGCACTGCACCGCCGACCAGGAGCGCATCATCTCCAACGCTATCCCGATCGCGCAAGCGTGGGCCCTCGAGTCGCTGACGTATGGTTTGCGCATACTTCGGCAACGAGACACTCCTGATCTGTCTGCACAGTTACCTCGACAACATCGATAGGAATCACACCGCGGCCATCGATGAGAGGTACAAGATATGGTTCGGCGCCTACACACAGGCACGGTTCGGGGAGGTGATTGGCCGTATGGCTGCGATCAGGCATGTTCATTTTGAAGACTGGACGTACGAGTGTGACCCGGGCTGCGGTTTGCTGGCGCCGCTAATCCACGCGTTCGTCAACCCCAACAAGTAAGCGCGTGTTCTACGACTTTGTTCCCCAATACCTGATGCATGATGTGCTACCTCGCAGCCGATCCGTCGTCAAACTGTGTCCTCTCTTCTGGAAGTATGACGACAACGAAAGGGTGACGCTCCGCTACCCATCTTCTATTTAGATCATGATGCTTATTGTCGACCATCTGTGTATGTTGCAGTCCACCACATGTTCGGGTGACGTTCAGGTGACGTTTGGGTATTCGGGTATTGTTCAGATATTGTTCAGGTGAATTTCACCGAATGTTCAGGTAATGTTCAGGTTCTGTTTGTAGCCTTTGTTCAGGTTCAGATAATGTTCAGATGATGTTCGGGTGATGTTCGGGTGAACAAAGATCACCCAAACTTTATCCGAATGCCAGATGAATGCCATCTGAACATCTCCTGAATGCCACCTGAACACTACCTGAACGACATCTGAACATCAGGCGAACATCATCTGAACATTGGCCGAACATCACCTGAACTTTAGTCGAACATTAGCTGAATGTTAGCTGAACATTTGCCGAACTTTATCTGGACTTCACCTGAATATCATCTGAACTACACATAAACAACATCTGAATAATATCTAAAGTACAAAGCTTTATACCTCATCATCTCTTTCAATATCAACCCCTGCCTCATCATCACTATCATCACTGCTCTCTTCTACATTCCTTTGCTTCTTCTTCTGTTGCTTTGCAATTACCCGTTGAGTATGCAAAAACAATAAAGCATGGATGGTAAAGTCAAAGTTGCTAACAGACATCTTGTTCAAGACTGTCTGAAAGCCACCCAGCCAAGCATTTAGTTGCTCACAAGCCTGAATAATCATTATTTAGCTAGCTAATACAGAGTCAATTCAGTAAGCACTTACTTGAGTATTGAAAGCTCTTTTGTAATAGAAGTTACCACTGTTGTCTTGCTCAACAGTTACAAGATTGGGAGCAGAGCCATTCAGAGGCGCTGGATTACACCAAGTACGACAGATATAGTCAGTGGTCCGATGGTTGATGTAATGGTAGGAGTCAACAATAAATCTTGTAGTGTCTTCCCACTTTGGCCAGTCTCCTTGCTTGACAATATGTCTAAGTACAACACATGCTTTGTCAATGCAGACATAGCTTGGTTTACTCTCTGGAGTAGGATAGACTTCCTCCAGAAATTTGACAATTTTGGTAGGAGATTCTGACTTGGCAAATTTCTTCCATGCTATGACCACTCCACATGGTGCACACAGTGTCTCAACACAGTAAAATCGTGGTGCAGAAAAATAGTTTTTATAGGAAGTGCCACTATTTTCTTGAGCATCATCGTCATCATGCTGCAATCTGGCTCGTGTTTGGGCAGGCAACCAATCTTGGGTCTCTGCCTCTGCTCTTCTTAGAGCTCTTCTCATTCCAAGCATGGATTGGTTTCCATATCTTCCACGATGGGTGTTCCACTGTTGCTGATGAATTTGACAAGCTTTCGTTCCTTCTACAAGATTTGCCTCACAACCCTTTACACAACACTGCCCCATTCTTTTGTCTTCATGACCTACACAGAAGACACCTGTGTGAGCATTTGCAAGGGGTTCTATGCAACCATCAATAGCACAGTGTCTTGGTCCCATCACAATGCCATCCATTACAACCATTTTAACCAACTCTACTTCACCAGAATCAGAGTTTCCCAAGTTAGAAGATGTTGAATCAACATCCATAGCATCATCATCATCATCATCATCTTGAGCATGGTGATGTTGCTCAATGCCAGGACCGGAGTACTCAGGAACAGCACTATTCTCATCAACACCAACTACACCAGCAGGATCAGTGGCCTGTCTGGGAATAGTATCTGCCACATTTTTATATTCATGAGTACATTCTGAGCAAGAATGGGTCCTTGCAGCATCAATGATACCACTTTGACCCAGCTCCTCAAATGCCTTGCTAGTAACTGTGTCAATGGATATCCCATCCTCCAGAATCAGATTGGTGCCAGAATGCTTGGCCATTTGCCTACTCATCTCAAGTACAAATGCTTTCCAAATATGCCGTCTAGTGATTTGAAAGACTGATTGCTGAGTGTTGAAGCTTTCATTCCAAAACTCTGTGATTGCTGCAGTAGAGGCATGAAAACTATATGTTGCATTGACAATAGCATTGGAGACAACTCGATCAACCCAGACTTTTTGCCCAACCTTCAAATACTTAGCATTGTTTAAGTAAAATGACATTCTTCCAGTAAATCCAGGTTCTTTATAGCTCTCATGATCTGCGTAGAATATGGAATGGCACCGAGAGCAAATACCACTCAGAACTGGCACATGGGAGAAACATTCACTTCCTTTGAGCAATGTTACTTCCGAAGTATCCCGTTCACGAGTATTTTGACCAAGTGCACAACCATTACAAGTTGCAGTTGAACACTGCATGGTACTGGGGCATATAACCAATGCTGGCTGGATCAAAGCATTTGATATTGGCCTGAGTTTACGCTTCAAAACTCCAGATTTGTTGTAAGGCCTTAGCTTTAAGACAATAGACAATTTGTTGAATTTCTTTGCCAAAATTGTAGTTTTTTCTGAATTCGACTTGTTGCCTGGTACATCTATCTCTGGAAGAAATAAAGAAGATGTAGCTTCATCACCCAGTCTGGCTGAAATAGCTCTAGCCAGTGCAGTCATCCATCCAGTAATGGACTCTGACCATTTTCTAGATCCACCTGCCACCTGCTGTTTGGCATGCAGATTTAAGAGATCTGGGTTACTTGTCAAACTGAACAAGATGAGAAGCACAGTAGAGAGTGTGACTTCTGAGCCATAGTTCTCAGAAATAAACTCAGCAAAGTCTGAAAACAGAATGCTGGGAAATTGATCTTCTATAGGCATAGCAGCTGCACAAGGCAGCAAACCAAATGTGAGACAAATGGTAAGAAGGATGAGTCCTAAGTTAAATAGCAAACTAAGCTCATGTCAGCATACTTGTAGACACTCAGAACCAATCAGATTTTTTTTTTAAAAAAAAAGACAAAGCCAAAAAATATGGCAGCATAGAGACATGTAAGTATATACTTACTTTGCAGTGGCTTTACCCTTCCCAGCCTTGGAGCTAGAGGCTCCACCTTTGCCACTCTTGGCCTCAACCTGAGCCTTTCCCTTTCCCTTTCCCTTCTCAACCTTTGCAGCTAATGCTGCAAGCTCATCAGCCACCTCAGAGATGACCATCTGAGTTGGCTTCCTTCCATGCCACATCTTGTGCTTGCTATCAACACCACCACGTTGTTCCAAGAAGTCAAGGAGTAGAGGGTGGGCCACTGCCTTGACAAATACCTTGTTCCAATCGTGGTGGGAGGTTCTGCCAAAGAAAACCTTCTTGATAGCCTCAGAGCTAGGCTTAGCACCATCCCACTTGCCCTCAGAAATGAGGGCATCAATCTTGGCTTGGGCAGCATCAACCGCCCGCCAGCGCTGATAGGCATTATGAATGCCCCCTTTGTCACTACCCCTGGGGGTGTGAGCGTAAGGGACCTTCAAACGCTCAGCGATATAGCGCTGGGCTGAGTTGGGAGCGAAGGCCTCATAGCCTTGAGTTTCTGTGACCTCATCTGAGGCAACAGAGCGGACAGCGCTGGCGATAGCAGGAGTAACACTCCTGCTAATGGCAGCAGCACTGCCCGGTACGCTGTGTCACACTCTCCTGAGATAGGGGAGTGTCCGGGGAGCACTGGGTCTTGCTAGTAGATCAAGTGAGAGCCCGGTTGTTCGAACACCTAGTAACTCTGATAGGGGTGTATATTTTGTCTCGCCAAGGTATGCCGATAGTGAAACAAGACTACAGGGGTAGTACAGGAGTAACACAGGGGTGGTGCAGGGATAGTACAGGGGCCTGTGTGAGGCGGTCCAATGATTGCTTCTTTCGGATAGGGGACGCGAGCGTGAGTGGTCACGAGCACGAGCGGAGACAGTAACGTGGAAGAGGAAAAATAAACAAAGGTGCAGATACGCAGTAGAACAGGAAGGGGTTAGTATAAAAGGAATAGAGAGTGAAAGAAAGGAACAAAAGGGGTACCGGGTAAAGAATTTGAAAGATAGGGGGATGATAAAAGATTAGAGAACGAAAAACTACCGTGACAAACTTCTTCAAGTACGCAGTACTTGAAGTTGAACCAAGTGGACGACTAGAAGACCAGAATTCGACTGGTATGACTGGATAACTGACTGATTGATGATCTTGCGGACTGAGAGTAAGATCGACTTTGACTTGACTGGATGACTAAAGAAACTTGACTAATACGACTGGCTGACTGAGACTTGACTAATACGACTGAATGACTGAGACTTGACTAAGACGACGGAATGACTAAGATCTGAGGACTGATACGACTAGAGGACTGACTGAGTGAACCTTTCACTGGGGGGGGAAAGATTGATTTTCAACTTCGCTACACTATTGGATTTTTATATGTAAAATATCTAGGCTGTGCACGGAAAGTAGAAAGAACGGTTGTTAGGCCGTCACAAGAATCAGAAAGTCCGGTAGAAAGGAATAGTCACATAATTCTGTACGGAAGATAGAAGGAAATGCAGAAGAAAGGAAAGGAAATGCGCAGCTGCATTCCGTATGTTCCGATGGATACATAAGGCTGTGCAAGGCTGTGCAAGGCTATGCTGGGCTGTGCTGGGCTGTGCAATTTGCACAGCCGAGGTCCGAATAGAACAGCCCAGCTGTGCGAATGAAAGGAATGAAGGAATATGGATTATTCTGATGAAAAGGGAGTTCTTAATGGAATATCTGATGGGCAAAGAAATGGTCAGGGGGGAGAAATAGAATTCCAATGGAAATGGGAAGAGAATAGTGGCACCCCTAAAGACTTAAGAGGGGCGGAGAGGCGAACAGGGGTAAGATCCCATGTGGTATATTATAGATAGGGGTGAGGGGTAGGATAGGGGATGCTTCCCTAGAGCCAGATAGTTCGGGGAGGATAGGGGAGGTATTGCAGAGGGGGAGAGTAGGGAGCTTGGGTGTTTGATTGAGCATAACCCTAGATTTCCGACATGATTACCATGTTACAAACATGGTTCATGACATCTGCGGGCGGCATTAGAATTCAACCGTCCTCGGTTGCATGCTCGATCAAATATCACAGGCTCCTA